GGAATGGGAGGGAGAGACCGAGGAAGACCAGAGACAAGGACACGGGAGGCCATGCCTCGGAGACGAGGCAAGGAGGGTTAACCAAGGCGGTGGTGCCAAAGGAGAGTGTGGTGGGACAACAGACGACACGAGCAGGGGGCAGACTCAGGACCAGACCTGGACGCCGCAGCAAGCACCTCACTCGACGCAGGTACCTGGGCAGACTCAGCAGTAGGAGGAGACTCAACAGTAAGGGTGTACAGGCTCGACCCTGGCCGACGGGTGAACGTGGCCAAGTGTCGGCCTGTCCGAGCACACCTGCAGTGGGTCACTCGCTGATTCGCAGGAGTGAACTGGTCAACCCCTCGATCCTGTAGGTCCGCTCCACTCACCAAGTTCGTAGAGAACGAGGGCAGGTAGAGACCACATAGGGTGCCAGAGGGGGCTGCAGGGCACGGAAGGACAGTGGAGAAGCTAGCAAGGACAGGACCCCCAGAGGGGTCTGCTAGGGAGACTGCAACCGGCCGACTAAGCGGCGTAAGAGTGGTGCGGTCTCGAAAGAAGGAGTGGGACGCACCCGAGTCCAGGGTGAAGGTGTGGAAGGCCTGAGCCGACGTAGTACCTGAGAGAGCAGACTCACCTGCACCTGGGGCGGCAGACGCACTGGCACCTGGGGCAGCAGACGCACTAGCACCTAGAGCAGCAGTCTCACCAGCACCTAGCGCAGCAGCCTCAATGCCCGGGTCAGGCGGTACACACAGGTAACAGGCACCCTCAACGCTATCACCAACAGCATACATGGCAGCAAGAATAGCATCAAAGTCAAGATCAAAGATAGCAACCCCGGCCTTAGCCATGTCTCCCCAGCGAGGGATCTCTGACGCCTCAGGGAATTGGCGACGCCACGCGTCCGTCAGGCGACCAAAGCAGCGCTGGGTGGAGTGCGGACCCCTGCACTGCTCACCAGTGCGGTCGCCGGTACGGAGAACGTAAGAGCAGGGACCAAAACCCCCACCGCGCTGGCGTGCAGTGTACCACTCACGAAGCTGCTGAGGGGACAGCGTCACACCACTCCGCTGCTGCTGCTGGCGCTGACCACCACCGACGCCACTCCTCGACGCAGAGTCGCGACCCGCTCCACCACCGCCGCCTCCGCCGCCGTCGCCGCCTCCGCCGCCTCCTCCACCTCCGCCTCCTCCACTACCTCCGCCGCCTCCGCTCCCTCCGCCACCTCCACCGCCTCCGCCGCCTCCACTGCTGCTGCCGCCGCCGCCACCCCCAGCACCACTCCCACCACCACCCCCACTCCCTCCACCGCCTCCACCACCACCTCCACCGCCCCCTCCACCTCCTCCAGTGCCCTTGCCCCCCTTGCCCTTGCCAGTGCGGCGTCTCCCGCTCGGGGCAGACGCAGCGCCGACCGAATCGAAACCAACGAGGTCGGCCGCAGCAGCAGAGGCAACAGAGGGCAAGAGGGGGGAGGGAGAACACCCCTCAAAGACGGGGGTGCGAGGGTCACCACGAGAGGCTCCTACAGCGACTATGCTCTTCTCTATCGCTAGGAGGGCCTTCTCAAGGAGGTCAACGATGAGAGTGGTGGGGCAAACAGAGAGGAAGTGGTCCTTGACTACACGGAGAGAGTCAGGGAGACGGGTGACTATGTAGTAGAGGGTGATGTACATGGGGGGGGGGGTTCTTGGCGCAGAACTCAGCAGGAAGCGCAGCGCGGTAGCGAGTGTCACTAGTGCGGAGGTGCGTAATGAGGTCAGCGACAGTGGGAAAGGCAGCAAGGTCAGGGAAGAGGTACGGTAGCATGAGGCGGCTCAGTGCAGCAGTGGCAGGGGAAGAGTAGCGTGCAACTACAGCGTCGTACAAGGTCTGAGCACTCTTGTACTAGCTAAAGTGTGCACGCTCAGTGGTCGGTAGGTGGCGGCGCACAGCAAGGCGAGCAGCAGCGTCACGTGTGGCCTACTGTGAGCGAACAGTGGCGTCAGCATGAGCAGCAGGGGCAGGGGAGGCACCAGAAGTGAGGTCAAACAGGGAGAGGCCGTCTGCCCTATCGCACTGCAGGAAAAGCTGCAGATCATCTACCCAGACCTCAAAGTCCACTGCCCGACCCTCAGCGTCAAAGGTGAGAACGCTAGGGGAAGCCATAACAGCAGGAGGCAGGGCAGTGCAGTGGTAGAGGCTGTGCTCTTACCAGGTAGGTGGAGCGATCGGGCTGCTCGGCGGCTCGGCTGTCGGGCGACTCGGCTGCAGGGCGGCTTGGCTGCTGGGCGGCTCGGCTGCTGGGCGGCTCGGCTGCTGGTGCGGGGGGGCTCGGCTGTCGGGCGGCTCGGCTGCTGGGCGGCTCGGCTGCTGGGCGGCTCGGCTGCACGGTGCTGGGCGGCTCGGCTGTCGGGCGGCTTGGCTGCTGGGCGGCTCGGGAGGTCGGGCGGCTCAGGTGGCCGGCGGTTCGGCTGCTCGGCGTTGCGGGCGCTGGGAGGCGAGGTCGCAGGTGGCGGCGGGCCGCAAGGGTGGGCGGGGCCGCGGTGGCGACGGGGCCGAAGTGGGGCCTAAGTGGGGCCGTAGAGAGGCCGACGGGGCCGAAGTGGGGCCGTAGCGGGGCCGCAGCGGGGCCTAAGCGGGGCCGAAGCGGGGCCGTAGCGGGGCCGTAGCGGGGCCGTAGCGGGGCCGTAGCGGGGCCGTAGCGGGGCCGTAGCGGGGCCGACGGTGCCGTAGCGGGGCCGTAGCGGGGCCGTAGCGGGGCCGACGGGGCCGACGGGGCCGTAGTGGGGCCGTAGCGGGGCCGTAGCGGGGCCTAAGCGGGGCTGACGGGGCCGTAGCGGGGCCGTAGTGGGGCCGTAGCGGGGCCTAAGCGGGGCCGTAGCGGGGCCGACGGGGCCTAAGCGGGGCCGTAGTGGGGCCGACGGGGCCGTAGCGGGGCCGTAGCGGGGCCTAAGTGAGGCCGTAGCGGGGCCGACGGGGCTGTAGCGGGGCCTAAGCAGGGCCGACGGGGCCGTAGCGGGGCCGTAGCGGGGCCTAAGCGGGGCCGACGGGGCCGTAGCGGGACCGTAGCGGGGCCGTAGCGGGGCCTAAGCGGGGCCGTAGCGGGGCCGACGGGGCCTAAGCGGGGCCGTAGCGGGCGGCTCGAGGGGCAGTAAGGGCGGCCAATAGGGGCCACTAAGGCGGCTCGAGGCGCTACTCGGGTTAGGAGCTAAGCGCGCTCCGGGCAGGGAAAAAAAAGTTCGTGGTGGGCCCTAGGCAGTATTCCCACTCGGGAACCTGCTCGATACCATGACGAGAAGTGAGAATGGAATGAATGAACTATGAAACACTTGGGTACACGTACTAACCCTAATTGGGTTGTACCCCTTATGGGCTACCCCACTACAGCCTACACGAATGTATATGCTATAATGTTCTGACACTTCGCCCATACATCCCAACCACAAGCCAAGTGCCTCATCACCGCCCGCCATCCATGACTCGCCCTGCATCGGAGCCGATCATCGAGCCCGAAAAAATCATGAGCCATCGGATCCGACACCCCACGGGAATCAGGAGGATTGAATTCCTCGTTCGCTGGAAGGACCGCACGCCAACTGAGGATAGCTGGGTGCCCCTGGCCAACATCGAAAGCCACCCTGCCCTGCAAGTTTACCTGAAGAGCCGGGGTTTCCGCGATATATACGCACTCGCGTAGCGGAGGGGGCTTCTTGAGTGGGGGGGGTAGTGTAAGGAATTTTCTCGATATTCCTTAGCGCGCCCTGCAACATCGCGTACAGCAGCAGCCGTTGTTCGCCCGTTACTGCTAACAGGGCTTCGCCGACTTCGCGCGCACTGTTTCACCAAACCTCGCACTGCAGGCCCGACCGTGTCGGCCTACGCTTCGGGACTAGCCCGAGCCTCGCTGCCAGCGTAGCACTAGCTAGTTCGCACGCGCCGCGTTACCGTTTGCATGTTTCGCGTATAAATGTTCGCTCATGCCTTCGCTCAGATTTTGTACTCGTTTGACACCTTAGTGCAATTCTCGTTACCTCGATTCATCGCACCCGTAACACTTATGCTCGTATAACCTATATCTTATAAATTAAATCCATATACTATTTTCTTCCGCTAGATATAGTTGTTCTGTTTAAAACTAGATTTCCTTCCATCTCCATCCAGTTTTCAATTAACATATCTTCTCCTCATATATTTCCGTACGTTATATTCCACTGCAAGGTGGTTCTTTTATTATGAATAATACAAAAATGTGTCCTGTAAGTAACAAGATTTGTATATAACATTAATTTCATAACATATAAATGCTATATTGCAACTTCCACCTGGTTATTGTGGATTCTCTGCTCGTTATGATTTGAGACAATTTTTTTTGACATAAGACTCTTATAAGTATAAGCAGAGAACGTACATACTTTTGTAGTCATCTATTTACACATGTTTCCTGGCTCCATCTTGGTGTTGGCAATGGAGGCTGTGTAATCCAGTGCGCACAGATATCCAATGGTAGTCACGCGTCAAGTCCACATGGTGGTCTCTTATTAGTGGACCTTGTGCACCTCCACGGTTCTTGCTTCCCCCAACCATGACCCGACCCGAGGCGTGCTCTTGCTGAGTGCGCTGCTGCTCCCACTGCGCCCAGGCTGGTTGGCGCGTCGCTGGACTGCGGGGGAGAGACTTCGGGAAAATGTGTTTCTAGTGGAGCATCCAGCCCTCCCCCAACTTCACGCGACGCCCCCCTCCCCTATCTTCCCCGCCACCACTCCGCCGACAACATTGCGCCACCTTGGGATTTGTTGTGGGCGGGTGCATGAAACTTGCCTCTATGCCTCACTGCCTATTGCCACTGCTTGTTCATTGCTCCTTCCATACCATCGTCGTTAGCAGGGATAGGAGACTACCTTGTGCGTGAACATACATCGGCTGTGAATGCAGTGTTTCATTCTGAGCTCATATGCGCTTCGTTGATTTTCCAGCCACGACCTTTTGTTCTTCCTGAGCAGTCGGGCGTGCCATTTTCTTCTGAGAACCGCATAATGGTCGGACACTCAGGCTATCAGGTGCTACACTAGGCCTGCAGTGATCCACTGCTTGTACAGTCGCATTCATCATACGAACCTGATCCCCACTCGACGACACTATCGGTATCTCTTGCACAATGATCTCAGCATCACCGCTGCACACAGCAGGCTTCGTGCCAGCATTCAATTCAACCGCGTCAGCGCATCACCCATTCACCTCCAGCGCTGCTGGGAGCAAGCCATTGCTTGCATCACTCCCCCAACGGCACCGCGAGCGCCCTCCTTTCTCCCTCAATGCCGGACCCAGCAGATTCGCCAGGAATCTCACGCCTCGAACGCGAACAGCTACACTAACGCACTTCTACTCCGCTTATGACGCTCGGTTTGCGACACGTTCCAGCGGCGTACAGCTCCGGGTGAGCGCGCGTGACGTTGACAGTAGCAGAATCGTTGACGAGGGGAGGGAGGGACGGTTAACGTCGGACTCCGCGAGAGAAGACGAGCCTGAAAAGGACGCAAGGGAGGATACTGCTGCGCCCGGTAAAGATTCTGGAAGTGATGTGAGTCAGGGAGAGAGAAGCCGTGAAAGCCGGGAGAGTCCGAGGCAGAGTTACAGAAGCGAGTGGAGGGGCACAGATAGGGACGGAAACGTCGCAGAACGTGGAAGGGAGGGGACTGAGGGCAGGGATAGAAGGGCTAGATACGTTCGGAACAGCGGGCGCTGGGAATGGATTCCGGCGGGACGAGATCGACGCGCCAGCGTGCATGTGAGCGTGCCTGTCGCTAACAGCAGCGGCAGGAGCAGCAGCGGCAGGACCGGCAGCGGTACCGGCACTGGCTACCGCAGCGGCGGGCGTCGAAGAAGCGGCGGATCTTCCGGCAGTTCCAGCTCGGAAAGTGAGGGGGAAGAGGAGGGGGGGAATGCGCAGGGCGGGCGCAAGGCGTGGGGGGGACCTGGCGGGAGGGAGGATGGCGGAGGGGGGAGATCGAGAGGCAATGGGCGCGGACTGGCGCTTGCGCGGTCTGTAGTGATCGACCTGCTGGCGCGGAGCAAGGAGAGCGTGGAGGAGGTGGTGTCGCCGGTGCTGTCGCGATTGACCGCTGCGACGCTGTGGGATCATGTGAGTGAGGAATTCCGTTGGGTCGGTCAGGGGCATGCACCGTTGCATTCTGATGTTATGGGCTTGTTCTCGATCGTGTGTGCTCGTGTGCGATCGCGCGCGTCTAATGGCGTGGCATAGATGCGGCTGCCGCCACCAAACCACTCACATTCCACTTTCCAGCTAATACAACTCTCAAATATGTACAAGAAACCGCAACAATCTACTCCTCCCATTCTGCCCTCTCCTCCTGTCCATCCCCTCCATCCTCTCCCTCGCGCGCCCCTAGATCCTCCGGGATTTAGAGCACAGAGGAAACAAAAGACGCGCGTACGAGGTCTTCGAGTACTTGCTCCTAGGGAAGGAGCACCACGGAGTGACCCTCTCCCCGCAGCTCTTCTCCACCGTTATCACCATGCTGGGCCGCGACGGGAAGCTGGCGCACGCGCGCGCGGCGTTCGACGCGATGGCGACGCACGGCGTGGCGCGCGGCGTGCACGAGTTCACGTCGCTGCTGAGCGGGTACGCACGGCACGGGCTGATCCGCGAGGCGGTGGACGTTCTGGCGCTGATGAAGGAGGAGGGGTGCGAGCCGAACGTGGTGACGTACAACGCGCTCATTCACGCGCACGCGAAGCAGGGCTCCGGAGTTGATAAGGTGCGTGCGTGCGTGCTGAGGTGAGTCGATTTATGAGTTTATTTGAAAAGAATGAGACAAGGGGACGTGTGTGTTGAGGTTGAAGGAGCGCAAGGTGAATGCGGGACTGACGAAGCCGTGTGAAATGGGGGGTTCGGAAGAAAGCAGTGGGCATCGGGCAAACGATTGTGGGTTGGAGGGAGTTCAAGACACATAGGTGGGATGGGGACACACAACACATACACAACACACACACACAGCACACACATACACACGCACACAAACAAACAAAAACGCAGACAACCCCAGCACACATCCTCCCTCAGCGTTGTCTCCTTCCTACCTCTCCTTTAAGCCTGTTCACTTATCCCATTACCCTCTGTTGCAACCAACACAGCTCCCGCCTTTCCCCTCTTCTCGTCCCCATCCCATCCCATGTTCAAGTAACGGCTGACATGGCGGGCGTAGCAGTTCAACCAGACTCTATGTCGCATCTAGCTCACTCGCCCCTCCCCTCTCCCTCCTCCTGCTCTCCTTCATTCAGGTGACCGCACTCTTTGACGAGATGACAGCGAGGGGAGTGGAGCCGGATGCCATCGCATACAAAAAATCAACTGGTTCTCCTTCCCACTCTCTCTACACCTGGTCCCCACCCTCCTCCCTCCTCCCTTCATTCAGGTGACGGCACTCTTCGATGAGATGACAGCGAGGGGAGTGTAGCCGGATGCCATCACGTACAACGCGCTCATCAACGTGTGCGTGCGCTGCCGAGACCACTGTTGTTGCGCCACCTCAAAGCAGAACGCATCCCCCCTCCCTTCTCGTCTTTCAGGTGACGGCACTCTTTGATGAGATGACAGCGCGGGGAGTGGAGCCGGACGCGATCACGTACAACACGCTCATCAACGTGTGTGTGCGCTGCCGGGACGTGGAGCGAGCTCTCACCGTTTTCAACACCATGCGCCAAGCTGGCTTCTCCCCCAACGTCATCACGTACACCAGTCTCGTTGACGGGCTGGGCAAGGCGGGCAGGGTGAAAGAGGCCGCGGAGTTGTTCGAGGTGAGTTAGTGGAGCTTGAGGGTTTGCCAAGAAGAGGGGGGGGCGAGCTCTCACTGTTTTCCACACCATGCGCCAAGCTGGCTTCTCCCCCAACGTCATCACTTGCACGAGTCTCGTTGACGGGCTGGGCAAGGCGGGGCGTGTGAAAGAAGCTGCAGAGTTGTTCGAGGTGAGTGGGTGGAGGATGAGGGTTTGCAAAGAGGAGGAGGAATTGGGGAAGCAGGCAGGGAAAAGGGGAAGGGAAGGGCTGGAAGGGAAGGAGTTGAAACGGAGATGCTCTGACGCTCTCTCCGTTCCTATTTCACCCTCATCCCTATTCCCATCACACCGCCATCCCCGTGCCCAATGCCCATGCCAATGCCCACGCCCCCTTGCCCATGCCCATCCATGCCCATCCCCACCACCATCCCCATCTCTCTGTGACCATCTGCTCCACCATCCCCACCATCATCCGCACACCCATCCCATCCCAACCCCATCCCCATCCCCATCCCCATCCCCATCCCCATCCCCATCCTCATCCTCATCCCCATCCCCACCACCGTCCTCGTTCTCATCCTCATCGGTATCCCATGCCATGTCCATGCCCACCCCCATGCACCGGAGATGAAGCACTGCGGGCAGGACCCCAAAAGCCGCACTTACAGCTTCTGAGTCAACTCAAAAATCGTCCCATCCCCACCATTTCACACCCCCATGCCCGCCCCCATGCCCACGCCCATCCCCACCCAAATGCCCACCCCCATGCACAGGAGATGAAGCACTGCGGGCAGGACCCCAACAGCCGCACGTACAACTCCCTCATCCGCGCATACGGCGAGGCAGGGCTGTATGACGAGGCCACGAGCCTCTTCCAGGAGATGGCGCGCGCAGGTGAGGATACAAGAACAAAAGAGGGTGCAAAAGTCACTGCATTCCCCAAGAGGTAGGGCTGTAGGGTGAGTGAGACCACCGGCCTCTTCCAGGAAATGGCGCGCGCAGGTGTGGATACAAGGACAAAAGAGGGTGCAAGAGCCACTGCATTCCCCAAGGGGTAGGGCTGTAGGGTGAGACCACCGGCCTCTTCCAGGAAATGGCGCGCGCAGGTGTGGATACAAGGACAAAAGAGGGTGCAAGAGCCACTGCATTCCCCAAGGGGCAGAACTGTACGACGAGGACACCAGCCTCTTTCAGGAGATTTCACGCGCAGGTGAGGCAACATGCAGTGCGCTGAACTAAGAAACGCGCAAGCCTTCCGTTTCTCCGACCCACCCACCTCCTGGTCACTTGTCGCATTCGCTACATATGTTCTGTCAGCCGTCAACCCAAACCATCCGTCCATTGCCCTCCCCTCTTGCTGTGTATGCTGGCACGTGTGTGCATGACATGGTGCATGCCTGATGCATTCACATGCAACAACATGATAGACGTTTATGGCTGGGACGGGCACCACACCATCTTATTGTGATCCGTGCCCTTCCATTGCACTCCCTCCTGTTGTCTCATCACCTGTGCGTGCATGGCAGGGTGCATGCCTGATGCATTCACGTACAACACGATGATCAACTTCTATGGCCGGGACGGGCAGGTGGACGCAGCAGAGGGCGTGCTGCAGCAGATGCGCACGCAGGGGTGCATCCCTGACAGGGTGAGTTTGGGTTTGTGTGAAGTGCATCAACACCTGGGCAGGGTGGGTGTGTGTGTGTGGGTGTGTGTGTGTGTGTGTGTGTGTGTGGGTGTGGGTGTGTGTGTGTGTGTGGGTGTGTGTGTGTGTGTGTGCTTTTGTGTGTGAATGGGCAGGGCGAATGATGGGAGTGAATGGCGTGGAGAGTGGAAATGCCGTAGAGTTTTTTAGGAAGATGCGGATCGTGAAATGATGTGTGTGTTCCCCCTTTCCTGTTCCCTAAAGGACCCTCCTCACCCTCTTTACCTCCCATTTCTGTCCCGTTCCCCCTTTTTCCCTCCCACTCTCACTCCCTCCCTCGCCACAACCCCCTCTCTCCCACCCTCTCTCCCCCCTTTTCCCCCTCCCCCTCCCCCTCCCCCTCATCCTCCCCCCCTCCCTTCCCCGCCCTCCCCCAGGTGACATACAACACGCTTATGGACGCATACGCCAAGGCAGGCCACCCGGAGAAGGCACAGCACGTGCTGGCAGTGATGCGCAGTGCGGGCGTGGCCCCGGACCTCTACACATTCAACATCCTGCTGGAAGCTGCTTCTAAGACCCGCACCATTGAAGACGCAGATAGGATCTACGAGGTACGTTTGTTGGGGCCTTGGGAAGTTTGTGGGAAGGGTAGGGGGTTGGGAGTGGGAGTGCAGGCAGCAGGCAGCAAGCATCTCGCCCCCCGGACCTCTACACGTTCAACATCCTGCTGGAGGCTGCTTCTAAGACCCGCACTATCGAGGATGCGGATCGAATTTATGAGGTCAGTTTACGAGTATTTACGAGGATTTTGAAGGAGGGGGTGAGGGGACAGGTGGGGCGGAAGAGGGAGAGAGGAGAGGAGGGGAGGAGGGGACGGATGGGGAGGAGGATAAGGGGAGAGAATAAAGGGGGAGGGCATGGGGGAAGAATAGAGGGGGGAGGGCATGGGGGAAGAATAGAGGGGGGAGGGCATGGGGGAAGAATAGAGGGGGGAGGGCATGGGGGAAGAATAGAGGGGGAGGGCATGGGGGAAGAATAGGGGAGGAGGATTGGGGGAGGAGATAGGTGGAGATGGGAGTGTCAGTGGTGTGCAGTGCGGGTGTGGCCCCCGACCTCTCTCCACGTTCAACACCCATGTTCCTATCTCAACACACCCCCTGCTCACACCCCCTCTTACCCAACCCCTCCTCCCCTCCTTCACCCGCTCGGTCGTCCCTCCGCTTCACCCATTCCCCCTTTCCCACAAAAACCTCTCCCCCCAAGCAGGAGATCAGTCGCAGCGGGCTGAGGCCCAACTTGGTGACGTTCACAGCGATGATCAACGCGTATGGCCGCATGGGGCGGCACGAGGAGGCATTATTAGGAGGCGAGTCGTGCGTCACTCTACCATCATCCACTCGTCCTCTCCTCTGCTCCCCCCTGATTCCCATTCTCCGACTCAACCACACCCTGCTCATCCCCGCTTGCCCCACCCCCTCCTCCCACAACCCTTCCTCCCCCACCCCCTTCCCCCAATCCTCCTTCCCTCAACTCCCTCTCCCCCCAAGCAGGAGATCAGTCGCAGTGGGCTGCGCCCCAACCTGGTGACGTTCACAGCGATGATCAACGCGTATGGCCGCATGGGGTGGCATGAGGAGGGACCAGGAGGCACTAGCCGGCGAGACATGCCCTCCCCTCCCCGTCCTCCACCTCAGCCATGCCCTGCCATACCCACTCTCACACCACCTGATTTTCCTGCACCCTTTCCTCCCCTCTCCTTCCCTCCCTTTCTCCTCTCCTCCCAAGCAGGAGATCAGTCGCAGTGGGCTGAGGCCCAACCTGGTGACGTTCACAGCGATGATCAACGCGTATGGTCGCATGGGGCGCCACGAGGAGGCGCAGGAGGTGTGGCGGGAGATGCGAGCGGCGGGCTGTGTGCCGGGCGGGCAGGCGTACACAGGGCTCATCAATGCTTATGCCCGCCATGGGATGTATGAGGTGAGGCCTTGAAGAAGTGGCACAGGAGGTGTGGGCAGGGTGGGAAAGGGTGGGCAGACGTACACAGGGCTCATCAATGCTTATGCTCGCCATGGGATGTATGAGGTGAGGCTTGGTTGACGCATGGGAGTGATCAGAGCAGTAGATGCGGCGAGCGATCAGCAGGCTGTGTGTCGGGAGGGCAGGCGTACACAGGGCTCATCAATGCTTATGCTCGCCATGGGATCTATGAGGTGAGAGCAGATCGCCTTGAAAGGGGGGGGGGAGGGAGGGGGGAAGAGGTGGGGAAGGGGGGGAAGGTGGAAGAGGGAGGGCTGGCAGGCATACCTAAGGCTCATCAATGCTTACACGGGCAGGGTGGGAAAGCATGGGAAAGGTTGGGAAAGGACATGCAGGGACACAGGCCACACAGAGCACGGAGGGCCTCACCTCTAATGACTTCTTCTCATCATCTTTTGCATCTCTTTTCCAATGTGTCTGTTTCCCATACGCCATGAGGCTGCTGGACCTGTTTTGTAACCCTCCCAGAAATGAAAGGCTGCACTCTTTTCCAACGCCCCTTTCCCCTTTCCCCAGGAGGCGCAGCGTGTGTTTGATGAAGCGTGCCGGGTGGGCATAGACCCGGACGTGCGCACGTACACGCAGCTCATGGACGCATACGGCTGGCTCTTTCCCCCCTCCCCGTGCCTTGTTCCCCTTTCCCCTTTTACCAGGAGGCCCAGCGAGTGTTTGACGAGGCGTGCCGGGTGGGAATAGACCCGGACGTGCGCACGTACACGCAGCTCATGGACGCATACGGCCGCGCCGGCCAGTACCGCCGCGCCGAGTCGCTGCTCTCCCTCATGCAGCGCGCCGGCTTCGTTCCCGATGCGCTCGCTTACGCCGTGCTCGTCCGCGCGTTCGCCGTGGCTGATCGATTCGAGCTGGCCCTGGGTTACTTTGAGCATGTGTTGAGGGATGCGAACCCGGAGAGTCCCCTGTGCCAGCAGCTTATATCGGACTTTGGGTCGCTTTATACCGCGTATACAGGCAAGAAACTGGATGTGGTGCAGAAAAGTGGCTCAGCTGGCGGCAGCGGTGGTGTAAACGGGGGTGGGTTGTCAGTGCAGAGTATAGGCAGCAGTGGCGGTGGGATAGGAGCAGGTGTTGGGAGTGTGGCAAGGCCGGTGCTCCCTGAAGGGGGTGGGTTGGGAAGAGGATGAGATGGAGGAACGGTGCGTTTACAGAGCAACAGGAGGGGATTCTCTAGGTGCAAATGAGATTGAGCCCCTTGGGATACTGGATGGGATGGGTGCATCAAATGTACCGCCACAGTTGCAGTAGTGGGGGAGGAGAGAGGAGATTCCTTCTTGAGTGAGTGAGGAGATTCCTTTTGAAGGGATCAGATTCTGATGGGCTGTTTCGTGCAGCGATGCAGCGGCCGCGGAGCAGAAACTAGGCAGATGGTTAGCGTGCAGTGATGCATGACAGTGATTGGCCGCTGGAAGATGCTTCCGTGCTCCATTCTTGGCATTGGGTTGGGTTGAATGAAGGGCGGTGCTGCAAATTTTCGCACTTGAAAGGTGCTTGATCTCAGGCAAAGCACCCTGTTTGTTTGGCCTACTGAGTGTTGAATTACTTTATGTGTTATGGTACGTACTGGTACATTGTGGAACCTAGTTTTATCACGAGCCGTAGTACAGTATTACAGATGGATTGTGAAAAGACTTGTCAGGTTACACCCGACACAAGCATCGAAGTGAACACAACGCACCATGGGAACTAGATTACCAAACCAAAGGTCTTGAACACAGCATCATCCCCTCCCCGATTCAGTGGGCCTTCGACATTTACTGTAGCTCCTAAAGCACCCTAGAGCATCCTACCATGTATCAAACCTGGCATCTCGATCTAAATTGCATTCCATGATCCATCAGTGGAACTAAGACTACTGCCGTATGAAGGCCGTAGGCGTAGGAACGACTGGCATGGGAACAAGTTTTCTCGATAAAGGCAAGACCACATAACAAAGCTTATTTCCTGACACTCGCTCCAATACAGGTAGAGGGTACAATACAAACAAGTGAGCATGTGTAGAATCCAAGTGACCTCACTTTCAATATCTCCACACACACACATCCTCCCCATAACACTGCCCATTGCCCAAGCAGTTCCCGGGTGCACATCCCTCGTTAGCACCGTCTGAGCACTCTGCAAATGAACGCTCTGAAACTTGAGTAGACTCTGCCCAAGCAGTTCCCGGGTGCACATCCCTCATTTGCACCGCCGGAGCACTCTGCAAATGAACGCTCGGAAATTTCTAACATGATCAGGAACTTTAGGCGGCGTTGCTGGTGATTGGGCGCGTTGAGAAGGGGGGGGAGGAGGAGGGGGGGATGGAGGAGGGGAGGGAGGAGGGGAGGGAGGGGGAGAGGGAGGAGAGGGTGGGGGCGGAGATGGAGGAGGAGGGGGAGGAGGAGGAGGATCCGGGGGATACGGAGCAAACAGCACACACTTGTTATTCTGCACCAGATCCCAATTCGCCTGCACTATATACTTAGACCCGTTAATCCCCCTCATATTAAACAACCCCCCAGTCGAAGCAGTCGCAGTGTTTAGCTGCGTCGACGTTCCAAACCACGTCTGGCACTTGTCGGCGTTTTCGAAGAGGCCCGAGTCGAGCCAGGTGCGCATGTTCCAGGAGGAGGCGGTTTCGGCAATCTCGTGGCCGATGAAGCTGATGATGGCCTCGTGCACGGGGTCGCCGTTGGGGGGCGGGAAGAAGTCCAGGAGCGGTGTGGTGAGGCCGCATCCTGGGCACTGGAGGGGGAAGATAGGGGAGACGGGAGGGGATGGGGAAGGGGAAAGGGGTCAAAGTGAGTGAGCGGGGTGCACGGCTCGAGGTTGAAAGAGGGACGATCATGATGGGATGATGGGCGTCTTGAATCAGCAAGGCCAAAGGCCCAAGGAGGAGGAGGAGTCGAGCCAGGTGCGCATGTTCCAGGAGGAGGCGGTTTCGGCAATCTCGTGGGCGATGAAGCTGATGATTGCCTCGTGCACGGGGTCCCCGTCGGGGGATGGGAAGAAGTCCAGGAGCGGCGTGGTGAGGCCACAGCCAGGGCACTGGGGGAAAGGAGGATAGGGGGAGAAGGGAGGGGAAGGAGGGAGTTTTGAGTGGACCGGACTTGCCTCGTGGGCGATGAAGCTGATGATGGCCTCGTGCACGGGGTCCCTGTTGGGGGATGGGAAGAAGTCCAGGAGAGGTGTGGTGAGGCCACAGCCAGGGCACTGGGGGACAGGAGGATAGGGGGAGACAGGAAGGGGAAGGGGACGAGTTTTGACTGGACTCAGAAGTTGCCCCCGTTGGGGGCAGGGAAGAAGTAGAGGATGAGCCAGGTGCGCATGTGCCAGTCCAGCTGGAGGCAGCTTCAGCGATCTCGTGGGCGCCAAGAGACCCCAAAACCGGTTAAATTAGCGAAAGACGCAAGACCCGACCATATTAGGAGGAGAGGCAACTTACGTAGATGGTGGGGTCTCCAACCAACCCAGGCGAGGCGATCTTGGCTTTTGAGTCGACTCAGCCTTGACTCGGCAAGAGATGCAAGGCAAGGCACATGCAAGGAGTAGACAACTTACGTAGATGGTGGGGTCTCCAACCCAGGCGATCTTGGCAACAATGCTGCTGGCAGCAGCAGCAGCAGCAGCAGCAGCGGTGGTGGTGGTGGTGGTGGTGATGGTGGTGGTGGTGGTGGTGGTGGTGGTGGTGTTATAGTCAAAGAACGTGTGCCAGGCGCAGTAGCTACTGCACCAGCGGGCCCCTGCGTTCTCCTTCGAACCGCTCTGCACCGTATTCTTATCCGTCAGCAGGAGGTACATGTCGTCCGCGCTTATCGGCAGCTTCCCTGCGTCCAAAACCTGCCGTACCACGTCCACTGTGGCGTCAAAGGTGGTGAGGTTACCGCTGCTGGATACGGTTGCTTCTTGCCCCAGGGTGATGTTGGCTGTCACGTTGCGGCCGTCACTGTCATAATACATGCGGTTGACGTTCCACCAGAGGGGCACTGGGACAGGGGTGGAGGAGAATGATGGAGGGGGGGGGGGGTATTTGGGGCGCTTCCAAATGAGAAGGAAGAGTGGAGGGAACAAGGAGAATGGCGGTTGCTTCTTGCCCCAGGGTGATGTTGGCTGCAACGTTGCAGCCGTCGCTGTTATAGTACATGCGGTTGACGTTCCACCAGAGGGGGACTGCGCGGAGAGGGGGAGGAGGAGGGCAAGGGGGAAGTGGGAGGGAACGAGGGGAATACCGTCGCGGTCGTAGTACATGCGGTTGACGTTCCACCAGAGGGGCACTGGGAGGGGGAGGAGAGGAAAAAGGAGGAAAAAGGGGCATGAGAAAGGGCAGGATGTAATCAAAGCGTCGCAGTTTCACGCAGTTTCAGGAAGAGGTTGTGGCTGTTCTTGTCATGGTACATGCAGTTGACAACTTGACAACTTCCTGATTCCTCCAGAGGTGCACCGGGAGCGCTGATTCTATTTACTGTGGTCCATTCCTGTGTGTGTCCTTCCTCTCTTCCGACATCCCTCCTCTCTCCTCACTCCCCACCCCTCTCTCGTCTCTCCTCACTCCTCTCCCCTGTCCCATCTCTCTCCCCTCTCCCCTCTCCCCTCTCTCCTTACTCACCAGTGACAGCAGGGTCAGCAGAGGGCGCGAGGGAGCTAACGAACAGCCGCACAGCGGATTTGAACCTCTCCGTAAACGCACTGCCATACCACACCACGTGCACGCGGATGGGTCGATGCATCATGGTCCCGCCTCGATACGTCACCGGCGTCGTGTTTGCTAGCCTCCTACGCCGCTGCAGCTGCCGCTTCCCCTCCTCGTGCTGCTGCTGCTGCTGCAACTGCTCCTGGCTCTGCCGTCGCTGCTGCTGCTGCTGCCGGGGCTGTTGCTGATGCGGTTGCTGCAGGTCCTGCTGGTTCTGCCGGTCCTGTTGTTTCTGCAGCGTCAATCCGCGCTGGTGTTGCAGCAGCAGCAGTAGTTGATCCTCGTCTGCGTCATCCTCTCCGTGCATGCCGCATGTGGGCAGAACACCAGGGATGTACGGACACTGTTGCTGCTCCTGCTCCCAGGAGTGCTGTTGCTGCTGCTCCCAAACGTGCTGCTGCTGCTGCTGCTGCTGCTGCTGCTGCTGCTGCTGCTGCTGCTGCTGCTGCTGCTGCTGCTGCGCGCTCATCTCTTCCCCAGCCATCCCTCCCCATGGCCGTTTACCCACCTCTCTCACCCTCATCTTTTTCTCGTCCTCTCCCTCTTGCCGCACCACATCGTCACTTGCAGGCTCCTCCTTCCACTCATCACCGTAAGCAGCGTCCTGTATTCTATACACCAGCTGCAAGTTATCCTTCTCCACACGGCCTAGAGGTGACCTGGTGGGTAGAAGCCGAGTGAGCTTCCTGGAAAGGTGTGGCCGGTTGCTGCTCCCGCTGTGCCATGTAGTTGGCTTCGATGCTGCTGCTGCAGCTGCTTCTGCTGTTGCTGCTGGTGGTGATGCTGCCACGGCCACTCGGAGACAGACCGATGAGTTGTTAGTCCCAACCGTAAGAAGCAGCAGCAGCAGCAGCAGAAGGATATACGTCGTGTGGCCCAGTATCGAAAGCAGGTGCCTCAGAACAGGATTAGCCGCCTTTCGTTGTTTCAACACTACTAGCTGTTTCCCATCCTCAAGCCCAATCGTCTTTCGCCCCGTGTGCTTGCTCCATCTCCTCCTCTCTCTGGTGGTACCGCCACGTCTGAAGCAGAAACACAGCGCAACGGTGGCCTTTTCGCTCCTACAACTACTATTCCGCCGCCCTTGGTCCTCCACAACCCCATGTTGCTGACACGGCACCATTCTGCTACTGCTGATGGTACTGCTGCTGGTGCTGCTGCCTCTCACTGATGCCCTGCACAATACCGCCCGCTGTGCTGCTTCTAAAAAGTGAAAGACAGAGAGGGTTGGCTCTCACGCGCGTTCGGCACACGGTATGACAACCACTACCCTTTCCTGCACGCGATTAAGGCGACTGACGCAGATGCGCCGCACTGTGGTGCTTATTACCAGAACGACGCGACCATATGGGGACAAACCAGTACTCCCAACGTCTTACCCTCTGGCAAAGAGTGCGGAGAGACTTTTGAGCCGACTCAAGAGGCGCCGCCCACAATGTGCCACACTCCTCAAATTAGCAGGGCGACCATATGAGGAGAAATAAATACTCCCAACGTCTTACTCTCTGGCAGAGAGTGCGAAGAGGAAGGGCAAGGAGTAAGTGCACTCACTGCGCTTGGCAGAAACCAGCGCTTGCTAGCCTTCTGAGACGCCTCTCTGAAGGTATCAGCCTGGTTCTTATAAAATCCCAGAACCGCTTTTGAGAGTTCCCAAGGGCACCAATCGCCCGCCCCCCCCAGCTCTGGATGGTCGGTGAATCTAACTACTTCTAGTTACGAAACGCAGAGGCAGCAGCCATTGCCGTGGCTGCTTGGAAACCCCACTAGTAGGGCTCGCAACTCTCCCGTGACATCCGTGCTATGGCAGCAGGGTGTAGGGTACTGCTGGGTGCTGGGTGCCGAGTGCTGGCATTCGGGAAGGTATTGTTCAACAATGAATACTGTTGCGATAGTGGTACTCGGGACGGCCGTGCTACGGGTGTCACTGGTGGGAGCAGTACGGTACTAATGGTAATACTCTCGGTGGCGTTCCTACGGGGTGCACCGTCATCTATAACGGCGGCCGTTTGAGTCTGACAGGGCCTCGGAATGCAGGCAAGGGCAGAGAGCACCGACAGGCGCAGTGCAGTTACTGTACCACTCACTACTCGCACTACTAGTTACCACTACTAGTAGCAGCTGCAGTGCGGCTTGGGTTATCAGGAGCAGTACTATCTCATTTGCGGCTACGTTTCAGCTTCTGCTACTGCACAGAGCTGGCGGTATACGTCTCAAGAATGGAGCAAAGTCCGCGGCCTTGGCTGTTCACATCCACTAGGAGGAAGCAAGCAGACAGGCACGCTGATCCACCGGTCGCTGTCACTTTTTTTGCGAAGCAACAGCAGCAAAGCAGCAACACTAACAGGTCTGTTGCGGTGCAACGCCGTCCGCTCACTCGCCCTTGCCGAAAGATACGGTACAACTTGACTTGGACGGTGATTCTCGAGTCGACGCAAAGTCCGGACGGTACGCACATGTCCGACGTCTCAAGTTCCCCCCTTCCACCGACGCTGGAAAGATCGAACAGCCACGGTCAGCGCCATGATACTGTATCGCAAGGTGAAATGGCCCATCCTGTTCTGCCAGTGGAGTACTCAAAAGGACGTATTACTACTACCAATAGCAGTAGTGGGATTAACAAGGTGTAATATCATGTGCTGCGGTACTAAGAAGGGGGTATGAATAACCCCTGCCCTTCGTCCAAGTGACCGTTTCGAAGCTCCATGTCTACGGAGGTTTCCCGCACCAGAAACAGTTGTCACCAACATGGTTAGCTTTACCAACTCGGTAGGAATAGCTTTCTAAGCGCTCCAGAGTGCTGAGTGTGGGATATCTGGGTAAAGGGGAGGCAAAGGGAAAACGCTTCTCTCGGAGCGAACAGTTAGATTCAACAGTCACACCCGCAGAGCGGTGCGACATGCCACACTGTGGCAGCATTGCGGCCCACTGTACAGTGACCGGCTAGTGAGTACCACTGGTAGTGAGGCCGAGTGTTTTCCGTCTAACTGTCTGTCTGGCCACGCCGAAGCGCGAGCAGTGAGGGTAGCGGGTATTCCTAACCAACTGCCTGGTGCAGTAGTGGTCGCGTTGACGAGCGCTGCTCGAGTCGAGAGAGACGAGAATGCCAAACGCCGCTGCTTCAAACGGGTTTGGCAAACCCGAGGTGAAGCAGCAAGCCAATTCGCAAGAGCTGGGCGAAAACGATAGCGAACACTATGTCGCAGAAGGGGAGTTTCTCCACTCATGTTACGGGCGTGAGAGCACCGACAGCCTAGTTTGTGAAGTGCTGGATGATGAAGCAGAACATAAAGCAGAAAAGGTTGGTTGGGACTTGATGGAACGGAATGGGATGGGAGGTAAAAGAGAGGGAGGGAGGGAGGTCAACGAAGCGAGAGAGGAAGGAGAAGGAGAAGGAGAAGGAAGGCGAGGAGTCGCGACTCGCGAGTCGCGTCGCGAGCCGTGACGGTTGCAATTCCAATTTTCATTTCCCTCCCATCCCAGAGCAGCATTCGCCTGCGATTCGTACCAATACCAACACTCCAGAAGCAAACCCAACCAATTGCGTTTGCCTCGAGCTGCATGCATGCCACATCAGAAGCAAACCCACTTTGGTGTGGCAACTTTTCGGTTAGTGTAAAAAAACATAAAACTGTTACTGCAGTCACTAAACAGTGATGCAAGGCTGAATAACAATAGGGTAAAACACATGGTAGCTTATACAAGCCAAGATAATACCACATTGAATTAGCAAGCTCATAACACAAATATGCAAACACAGGACACAGCAAACACAAACGTAAGACACACATTTCTTGGTCAAATCAATGTTAGCATGAACCAAACGCCCCACTGCCTCCAACCCAACCAGGTCTGTCAGCCTGCTAGCAAGGCATCAGCTGGATACTGACGCACTCAACTCAACGTTGCCTGCCTGCCACCCCAAATGCATTTTGCATATCCTTCCCATATCCTTCCCTACCACTCCACACCACCGGAGACCAGACCGCAGTCACATTCTCATGGCACCTCGTACCTCCCTCCATTCATCTACGTGCCATATGGCACTCCACTGAAACTATTGGACATGGATTTGTGACCAACAGGCCCCAGTCCTGTGACATTGCTAACCGAAGGTGTGCCAGCACCACCGTAGCCAGCACCAGTAGTTGCACCATCAAAAGCCGCGGTGACACCACCGGCAGCATCAGAAGCAGCGGCGGCGGCGACGGCAGCAGGATCACTAGCGGTGGTGGCAGCACTAGCAGCAGCAGAGGCAGCACCTGGGGCACGGTTGAACGTGCGAGAGAGGACAGAGTTAAAAGGAACCGGATGGCGAGGCGATGCAACCGCAGCCGCAGCCGCACCAGCACCAGCACCAGCAGAGGGGGAGGAGAAGGAGGAGTGGTAACGGCGGGAAGGAGAGAGGGCACGAATACTTGACCGGATAGCAGCGCCCATGGAGCGAAGAGCCCTGGAGGGGCTGTTAGGACGGATGGGTGGAGTAATGGCCGGGGAGTGAGTGTGACTGTCGCTGTTGCTTTTCCGGTTTCTGTGACTGTTACTTTTGTGGTTAGCGGTGTAAGTGGGTGAAGTGAACGATCCGGTTGGGGAGAGCGCTTGCAGAGGGGAGGAGGAGGAGGAAGAGGAATTGACTTGGTCTGTAGGAGTGAGAGTGGTAAAAACAGGAGCATAACCATTGGGTGTTGTGTGAGTGTGACTAGCACCACTGCTACCAATGCCACCAGTGCCACCACTGGCACTAGTGCTGCCACCTGCACTGGCGGCTGCCATCTCAGCAGCAGCAGCTGCAGCAGCAGCAAACCTCTCTCTCGCCCTCTCCTTCTCCTTCTCCTCATCCGCACCCCTCTCCCACTCCTTCCCTACCCTCCTCATACTCCCAACACCACTGCCACCCGCAACACCAGCAGCCACAGCAGCAGCCGCAGCAGCCGCCGCCGCTGCCGCAGCAGCAGCAGAAGCAGTCTCAGTACTGTCTGTAGCAACGGCCTTTCTAATCAGCCCAGAGCCTTCACTGACGCTTCTCTCCATGGGATCCAGTCGGCATGGGGAGGGGGAGGAGGGAAGCACCGCTGCCGAAGCAGCAGCAGCTAAGGCAGAAGCAGGAGCAGGAGCAGGAGCAGGAGCAGGTGAGGGAGAGGCATGGAGGGGTGCTACTCTGGAAGAGGCAGGAGCAGACGCCGCAGCTGAAACGAATCGGCGGGAAAGGGACGTGGCGTGGAGCGGGAGCAAGGGAGAAGGGACACCGGCGGCAGAGGAGGTGGAAGGAGAGGGGGAGGAAGCTCTTGGGCTATGGGAAATCCGGACAGCAGGGAGGGAGGGTTCTGATGCAGCAGATAGCCTCAAGACTTGGCGGGTGGTGGTGGTGCTGGCAGCGCTGCTGCCACTGCTGGTGCTGCTGCTGGTGGTGGTGATGGTGGTGGTGGTGGTGATGGTGAGGGTGCTTGTGCTCTCAGGGCTGCTCCCGCTGCCAGCACTGCCGGTGCTGCCGTTGCTGCCAGTGCTGCTGGTCTCACCTCCCCTTTCCCCACCGATCCCGCTGCTACCCCTGCTCATGCTACTTCCCACAGACGCTGACGCTAATGCTGATGGTGACGCAGCAGCAACAGAAGCTGCAGCAGCAGCAGCAGTACCACCACCACCAGCAGCACCCTCAGCAGCAGAGGGGTGATGGAAGAAGTAAACGACAGCAGAAATGTCATCGGTGCTGAGGGGGGGCGGGCGCATGTGCCACTGCAGCTCCGCTGCTCGCACCACGGCTGCTGCTGCCTCCTGGGGAGAGGGCGAGCTGGCAATTATAGCCACCACGGCTTCGTTAGATAGCACGTCCCACACCTGTGGTAGGGGAGAAGGACGTTTGGGGGAAGGAAGTTTGGGGTAAGCACGTTTGAGGGAGGATATGAGTTGCCTCCTGAGGGGAGGGCGAGCTGGCAACTATGGCCACCACGGCTTCGTTAGATAGCACGTCCCACACCTGCGGGAGGGGAACGAGAGGTACGGGGAGTGAGGAGGGGTTGGGCGCATGTGCCACTGCAGCTCCGCTGCTCGCACCACGGCCGCTGCTGCCTCGACTGCTTCGTTGGACAGAACGTCCACGTCCCATACCTGTTGTGGAAAGCGGGACGGGAAGATAAGTTATTTCCTGAAAAATTGCTGCTGGCACGGATGGCAGCTGCTGCTTTGGCTACCACGCCGCCGCCGCTGCTGCTGCTGCTGCTGCTGCTGCTGCTGCTGCTGCTGCTGCTGCTGCTGCTGCTGCTGCTGCTGCTGCTGCTGCTGCTGCTGCTGCTGCTGCTGCTGCTGCTGCTGCTGCTGCTGCTGCTGCTGCTGCTGCTGCTGCTGCTGCTGCTGCTGCTGCTGCTGCTGCTGCTGCTGCTGCTGCTGCTGCTGCTGCTGCTGCTGCTGCCCCCTGAGGGGAGGGCTAGCTGGCGGGGTGGCATGGCAAACATAGCCATGACTGCCTAGTTGAATAGCACAAAAGTCACAGCTTATTCGAATGGCATGTCCCATAAGAGGTGGTTCCCAAGGCAGTAGTAAAAAAAAAAAAAAAAAAAAAAAAAAAAAAAACCAAACAAACAAACAAACAAGAAAAACAAAAAACAAAAAAACAAAAGGAAGAAAGAAAGAAAGAAAGAAAATCACGCCTTACCCCCATCGACCCAAGCCCACACCATCGATCCTCACCCCATCAGTTGCCAGCACCATGAAGCAGTGCTGCGGCCTGAGCCTCAGAAACCGCACATCCGGGTCAGCAGTCACCCCGTGTGCGCGCATGAGAGCAAAGCCACCCTCCCCCACACCCCCACACCCCGTCATGCACCCCATCTCCCATCGCCACTCACCCCATCAGTGGCCAGGACCATGAAGCGGTGCTGCGGCCCGAGTCTCAGAAACCGCACGTCCGGGTCAGCGGTGACCCCGTGCGAGCGCATGAGAGCAGAGCCGAGGCAGCGCGACATGGCGATGCCGGGCGCCTCCTCGTGCGGCAGCCATGCGCGCTCCACGCCCTCGGGATCCCCCGGGATTGCGTGCACTCGGCCCCCTGCGACCACTATCCGAAACCGCTCCTCTGGTTGGGGGCCAAGGGGAAGAGAGGGAGAGGGGGGAGGAAATGCGGGAGGAGGGGGGAGTGGACAGTGGGGGGAGAGTACGGTGAAGAGGGCTGGTTAAGGAGGGGAGAGGGGAGGGGGAAGGGGCGGGGGGGGCGGAGTGGGGATGCGCGCTCACCAGGATGCGCGGGCTTGTGGTCTGTGGTGAGCTGTAGCGCAGCCATGCCACACTGCAACGCACTGCAACGCTGCTACCTCCAGTCCAGATCGCCGCGACCAGCGCCACCACCAGCACAGCACAGCACCGCACCGCACCGCACTGCACCCACCAGGTGCGCACTCACGTACGTGATACAACTGGTGGCACAAGAGGTGCGCAGTGCGCATCCGCACTCACCAGGTGCGCAGTGCGCACCCGCACTTGGGTGCTGAGATGAGACATCTCCAAACTCACCAGGATGCGCGGGCTTGTGGTCGGTGGTGAGCTGTAGCGCTTCCACCTCCACGTCATCACCGCCACCACCACCCCTGTCGCCACCAGCGCCCCCATTGCTGTCTACCCCATGTCCCTCGCGCCCCCCGTGTGCGCTGGCTCCGCCAGCAAGGGGAGTGGGGGGAGAGACAAGGCCCATGACACAGCGGCTGTCCCCCACCCACGCCACCACCAGATCCCGCCCCTGGGGGGGAGAAGGTGGGGGGAAGGGGGGAAGGAGAGGGGAGAAGAAGGGGGAGAGGAAGGGGGAGAGGAAGGGGGAGAGGAAGGGGGAGAGAAAGGGGGAGAGGAAGGGGAAGAGGAAGGGGGAGAGGAATGGGGAGAGTGAGGGGAAGCATGTGAGAGAGCAAGAGGGAGGGAGGAAGCGAGGGTTCTGACATGAGCGTAGGGTGCCTGCCCAAAGTAATGTTTAGCCCCACCGGAAACTCCCCTCACTCCTCACCAACGCTCCCCTTCCTCCGCTTCCTCCGCTTCCTCCGCTTTCTCCCCTTCCTCCGCTTCCTCCGCTTCCTCCCCTTTCTCCCCTTCCTCCTCCCCTCCCCCATCCCGGGTCTCGCCTGCACCACGGCCAAGCCAACACAGCAGTGCACGCGCTATAAGACCCCCCCGCTGGGTTTACAATCCACCCCTCTCCTCTCCCCCCCTCTCGAACCCTGAGCGTCCCCTCCTCCTGGCCCCCCAGGCCCGCTTCCCCCCTCTTCGCCCCCTCCACCCCTCCCAAACCCTCCATCATCCCCCCACCACCCCTTCCCCTTCCCCTTCCCCTTCCCCTTCCCCTTCTCCTTCCCCTCACCTGAACCACGGCCACCACAGCGGTGCTGCCGCTGTTGAGCGGGTTGATGTGGCGGATGCCTGCGCGCATCGCGCTCCAGACTCAAACTCCCCGCGTCCCCCCAACCCCCCCTAACTCCCCCAACCCCCTCACCCCCCTCATCCCCCTCACCCCCCTCACCCCCCTCATCCCCCTCACCTGCACCACGGCCACCACAGCGGTGCTGCCGCTGTTGAGCGGGTTGATGTGCGGGTGAACGCGCACGTCGCGCTCCACGCTGGCGAACACGTCGTGCATCTTCGCGCGCCACGCCGCCCTGTCCCCCGCGCCGGGCACCGCCCCCCCCGCGCTTCCTCCCGCTGGGCTTCCGCCCGAGGCGTCCGCAGTGCCAGCGGCGGCGTCGGCGGCGGCGGCGCGCGCGAGGAGGTGGGAATCGAGGAGGAGCGGCGGGAGGGTGGCGGCGGCGTAGGAGGAGACGACGCGGCCGAACGGGCCGTGCCCGTCGAACACGGCGCACAGCGCGCTGTCCGGGCGACCGCCGAAGCGCTGCGAAGGGGAGGCACGCGGAAGGGGGAGTATAAAGAAGAGGGGAAGGGGGAAGAAGGGGGGAGAAAATGCGCAGAGTGAGCGGGAGGGGCAAAGGGGGAAGGGTGGGCGGAAGGTGAGGAGGAAAGAATCGCGCGGAGCAGTCAGCGACGGTGACGATGACACACGGGGAGTCTCACACACCGGGAGTTACTCTCTCTATAGAGCAGCTACTATATGACTGCTCCCGTAGACGCCGTTTGAGGCGCCTGAAATTGCGGGTGAAGGGATGACTTCGCTCAAGGGGGGAGTCTCACCTCCCATAGGACCGCCGCGTCTTGGGTGCTCCCGCGCACGCCTTGCGCCATGTGCAGCGAGCCGCGCGAGAGAGACCCCGACGCGGCGAGGCGCGTCGGAATGAGCGCAAGCACCGCCGCGAGGCGCTGCTCCGCGCGCAGCTTGTCCGCCGCGCGCTGGCTGAGCGGAGCTGATTGGGGGAACAATTGGGGAGCGACGGGGAAGAGCGAGGAGAGGGGGAGAGGGAGAGACATCAGGTGAGGGAAAAGCGGACGGCAGAAGGCGGACGGCGGAAGACGGAAAAGAAAGGCTAGGGTTACGCGACGAGGTTCTGGGAAGATGCGACAATTCCCTCCAATGGGCAGAGTGAGGGGAAAATGACATGAAGGCGAAAAGGTGAATCAGGTTACACTAGTTTCTTTCGCCATTGTAAGCTTCTCCGTTCCGTTTTAGCCCCGCCATTTCGTGTTTCCTCTAAAACCCCTCAGCTCCCTCACCCCCCAAATCACCAACCACTCGTCTGTGCTATAAAATTACCAGACGATTTGTACACTACGATTTTCTTTTCCTCCTGTCGACCGCTGCGATCGCCGTCGCCGCCGCCGCCGTCGACATCGTCGTGTGTGTAACGCCTTGTCGACGAGCGCGATCCGCGGATGGGCGACAGCGAGCGCCACGAGAGGCGGGAGCTGCCGCCGCCGCCTTTTCCACGCGACTCCGCCCGCGATGACGATCGCACGGCACCCTCTGCCGACGACGCGACGGCGACCGGCGCCCTTCGAGGCGACACAGGCGACGGCGTGCGAAAACTGTCATTCGGCGACTGCGACGGCGACGACAAAGGCGACGAGAACACCATGGCCGGGTCGGCGCGCGTCTGCTCCGTTATTTTCTCGAGGGTAGACATTCCCTCTCGGCCGCGATGGACGCCATGATTCGCGCCAGCAACGTTTCCTGCGCCGTAATCAGCGCCGAGATACGCGCCGTGATTATCGCCGCGAAGCAAGCCTGGCTCGACTGGGTGGTCTATTGATGCCATAGCCATTCGCGCGCTGACTATCTGAACACTGAGAAGTCCCAAACGTGCGTGTGATGTAACCCAGAATACTAAAACGCGCGCTCACTACCCAGTTGCGCCGTGTTGCCGAACCCTACTGCCCTAATGGGTACCTATCTCGATCCTCCCTGTTGACTCCGGTCGTGAAAAACTAGAATTGAGCTCCGTAATATAAGCACGAAAGGTCAGTACGTCTAAGCTCCACGTATATCCTCGAAAGCGAGCACTTAGCAACGTCAGCTGAGCTTGGCGAAAACAAAGGTTCCGTTTCCGCATTAAAAATACAAATTCTTATCACCACTAAGCGCTATGAAAAGTAGGTCCAAACAAGATAGAACGAGTTATTCGACGAGTACTTCCTCCTGCGCCATGGACTGGACGGACACTCAACCTGGATCACAGCCTATCCGACCTCCTGTCTACTCTGCGACACCTGCACTTCCATCTCTACTGTATTGTGTCATTTCTTGTCTTCCGTTCCGTTCCTCCCCTCCCCAACCTTCCCGAGCCACGCAGAATGGCAGCACACCACACACGCGGGATGTGATTGATAACTACGTATTCACTTGACTCGGCTCAGATGGTTTTCAGATCCGAAAATGTATGCCGTAGCGGAAGAGGTTCACGCATACATAAGGGTAAATACACTGCTGGCCCATAATGCTCAAGGGTGCATATATGAGACGCCTTTACTACCAGCGACTAAATGCATTGTGGAGGCACAATGCCCGGACTGCGCTGTGTATTGGCGCGTAAAAGATTTGGCCAAAGCTCTATATTATATATTACAGTAAAGTACTTCGAGAATTACTATCAATACATTCTCTGCGCGCAGATCCGCGGGCTTCCTTTCACCTTGCCCGGTTCTGTGTGGGGCTGCTGCGGATGCAGCTCACCACCACGGCCAAATCGCGGTTTGACCGGCAACAAATCTTGTGAAGAGCGAGGCGCAGGGAATGCCTCGGGTCGCCTGCAGTTCGCGCACAACCCTGCTTGCGCCTCGAAGGGCGGGCAGTCCAATCCAATGTATGCCGATAGTACAGAAACTCTGGGTAGTTGTTGTCGTCCATATCGAAGAACAGCCTATTCTGAAGTTGTCACCCTGCTTTGTCTCCCCATCCCTCCCACTCCGTTCTGGTATGCGTGCTTCAAGCTCTAACCACTACTTTTCAGCACCAACATGACCCTGTGCGGTTGCGATTCACGATCTGTTAAGAGGTCCTTGATTTTTGTTTGATTGCTGTCATGCGCCAAATGGACCTAGAGCGGTCGCGATTCAGGGGAAGTTTGGGGAGCCAAAAACGAGCCCAAGCGCTACCATTGACAAGCAAGACAATGCAAGTGACCGAGCCGCATGAAGCCAAACACCAGCCTTGACTGCACCTCTGACTAATCCGACCAATGAAATGGCTAACTGATGCATCTTTTATCCCCGTCCTTTCCGCTCATCCCACCAAATTTCACGTGGCACAGCACTGGTTGGGTTGGGGGGGAAGCTATGCAACCACGTGAAATAGCTGGCTATTGTTAAAATAATTTTCTATTTTTATATTTCGGAAAATATATTGGGGTATTTCTCAGCTGTCCGTCATGCAGAGAACTTTGGGGTACTCAAGGTCGCTGATTTCACACATGAAAGGGACAGTGTGCCCGCCAGAAGCATTTTTGCTGCGCTGGACAGATCTCTCTCTCCACCAACCAACAACCCGCCACTCACGCGGCCCGTCCTTCACCACCACAAATCTGCTTGGTAAACTTCCGAGAGGTTGCAACGAGCTTCACTGCAGTCGTAGGTGAATTTCTTAGCTTCGAAGCCTGTCAGTTTTGGCAGGGGTCAACCAATCACAAAGGACCTAGTCTGACAGCGGAACTGTGAATCAAATACAGTAAATTGATTGAAAAAGAATCTATGATAACGGTCACCAGAGTCAAAACCGAGGTTAACAAGGGCTGAATAAATCTCCTGATTATAACACAAGCATGTCTTGGGATCACGTGTCGGTCTTTGCCTTCTTGACACCCACAACTGATTTGAAAAACTCATACGCCACAAAGCGGATGGAGTTTTGGGGTACGACCTTGAGAGTGTTGGCCCACCATCCGTGGTAGAAGCCCCTGCAATAAGGGTCAAGCACGATGGCAGATTGGAAACTTTCGGTAAGTACATTGTTGGCACATCAATTTCCTTGTTGCAATATGGCGGGGATGGAACAGAAACCAGAGTGTGAGCAGATTGGCACGCACATGGCCGATGCATGCGATGGCATGCCATGGCATTGGAAAGGACAAATGTCATGATTCTGAAACGCATGACACAACAAGTGAAACACATACCGTGGGCCTTCTGTCCTTGCCATGGTTGCAAATGCATCCATGGTGTTGCGATACACCTGACCCTTCATCTGTTGTTGCTCCCACACACACAGCCAGCCAACAACAGCACAAGACAACCAACGCACACACAGTCAGAGAGCAATATCATGGTATTGTTTGAAGGATAACCAATCCACAATGCCTGGAGAAAACGTGACTGATTGAGCGGGCTGGATCTGATAGCAGTAGATCAATAGCATAGAGGGGTTGATAACGGCATGAGGATGTCAAGGCAAAGCAGCGTTCAGGAGAGGAGAATAGAGAGAGGGAGAGAAAGAGGAAGAGAGAGAGAGAAAAGAGAGAGAGAGAGAGAGAGAGAGAGAGAGAGAGAGAGAGAGAGAGAGAGAGAGAGAGAGAGAGAGAGAGAGAGAGAGAGAGAAGGCTGCACAATAGGGAAATGGATGATCTTGGAGCAGGGTGAAGAGCTGGAGAAAGGGGAGTGAGGGGGGCACGGACCTGCATTCTCCTCCGCACAGTGTCAAGAGGGTAGCACACAGTGGTGGCAATGGTACCAGCTGTCGCCCCCATGAGCAAGTTATTGGGAATCGACTCTTTCACTGCACCAGACTTGTACAGTGACGACTTGAGCAGGTCATATCTGAGAGGGGCGAGGGGGCAATGGGATAAGAAGAGAGAAGCAGAGGACAGTTGGTCCTGCTCGTTCTTATGCACCAGTCCAGGCTGTGGAACGATTAAGGGATTCGGCAAGGTTAGCTGGTGAGATGCAGACTGCGGAATGGGCACCAGCAAGGCTTCGAAACGAATTCCATGACAGTTGAAACAATAAATGTGAAAGGGGCGACTGTTGGTGTAGTCGCGGAAACAGCTGCTTGAAACGGGGTGAGTGAGTGAGTGAGTAGCGATAGGTGAAGGGACGCTGCAACAGACATCTGAACCAACACGCATGCTGAAAAGGGTTCAGGGTTCAAAGAGAGATGGAATAAGGCGCTATGAGCTTAAAAGAAGCACGCCAGGTTCGGAAAGCTAGGGGCCATTCGGGTCAAGGAAGGTACGGCCCACCCAGCCCCCTGTTGTTTCCAATTGAGATTGACGCAAATTGGACTCACGATGCAAAGTTGAGTGCAGCATATGGGGCGATACCCAGCAGTGTAGGGAAGATGCCCTTGTATAGAGCCAGCGGGCCCTCCTGTGAAGAGTACAGCACAGGCAAGTGGGAACCCAAGCCCAGGGGTTAGAGCATAGCATAGCTTATTTTATTATAAGCACCCTCAAGGCTACGCAGGTTAATACAAGTTGAATACAAAGCAGATTACACTAAGATACATCTTGCTGCTGACTCCTTACACTCCCTTTTTACTCTGAATAAATGCATCACAGCCGTTCCCACTCTTACACATCCTCCATCTTCCCTGCCCGCCCCGTCACTCCCTCGTCCAGCCCTTTCCCACGTATGCACTACCCCCACATTTCTCCCTGCCTTTCTTTTATCCATTGATGCTCACAACAAGGGGTGGATGGAGAGCCCTGAGTCCCTTCAACCCAAAAGCGGCATGGTCATGCGCACCACCGTTCCCACTCTCCCTCGTCCCCACTCCTCTTCCCACTCCTCTTCCCTTCCTTCCCGTCTCCAACACCCCCTTACCCAAGTAAAACGCATACCAAAGAGGAATCTCCCTTTGAAACAGGCAACCGTGGGCATTCCAACCCTCCCTCCGTGCCTCGGCAAAGAATCTCACAAAGGCTTTCGAAATTCCCCAGTAACCCGACGCCAGTGTCGCTATACTGACTGGAACAACCGACTCAAACGCCTCCTGCGAATCCTAATCCTCCCTAACGACAAACAGCCCTGAGAATTCCAACCACCCCCCCTCACCCTCCCCCCCCACCCCCCCCCCCCGGGCGTACCTTGGCAGTGCTCGCTCGTCGCAAAGGCGAGGTTGACATCCCTGAGACGCGCTTGACTTGACAAACATGTGCAGCATCGACATGCTGCCTGTACAGGCGACTCATAAGCCACCTGAGCACACCATCCCTCGCTCGAGCTTACCTTGGCAATGATCGTTCCAAACGCTTGCGAGATCCCCGAGTGCCCTGACGTGGGCATGGCCATGCTGCTTGTACAGGCGACTCAAAAGCCACCTGAGCACACCATCCCTCCCTCCCTCAAGCGTACCTTGGCAATGATCGTTCCGAAGGCGTGCGAGATCCCCGAGTAACCCGACGTGGGCATGGCCATCCGCAGCCGCACCGTGTCCAGCGGGTGCGTCAGCGCCGTCGCCGTCATGCCCGCCATGGCGCCCGCCATCAGCCGCTGCGGCACGGTCAGCTGCCCCGACGTCCCCGCCAGCAGAATCTTGTACTGCTCGTGCGACGTGAACTGTGGGAGTGGGGGAGGGGGAGAAGGGGGGCGAGAGACGGGGAGGCGGGAAAGCGGCCAGGGAACAGCTAAGGCGGTGGCGGGAGTTATAGGAAGGGAGAATAAAGGGGAGAACGGAACCAACAGTAGACGTGTAGGAAAGCGAGGGAGGGGAGGGAATGGGAGAAGGAGAGAGGGCGGTTGTGGGGAGAGGGTTCGGGGTTTTACAGAGAGACTGGCGGCAGTCTTTGAATTTGCTCAAACGGCTGATCGAGCAGCGCAAATATGAGTGTTTTCAGTGTTTCTCAACGCGGGGGGGATGGGAAAGGGGGAGTTGGGATGCTATGAACGAACAAGGTCGTTAGGCGTTAGTAACTGTCCAACCAGCCCCCCCTCCCCCCCCCAAAAAAAAAAAAAAAAACAAACAGAGAGCGGAGCTAACCTGGGCGGCGGAGTAAGGGAAGATGCGGACGATGTTAAGCCCGTTGCCCTTCCAGAACGCGCGAATGCCCTCCTCGCGGCCGATCTTCATGACGGCTTGAGTCACGCCCGTGTACGCGTTAGCAGATGTGCCTAGCTGACCCAGATGCTGCACCTGTACAGTCAGCGGAAGATGGAGGAATTAAGTGGGTTGAAAGCGACAGACCCGCAATAACGGCTGACTGCTCAACGATAGCGCGTAGAATGATCCGTCTCTGAGTAATGTGATATGCTTAGCGGTGTACCTGGAGCAGCAGTTTAATCCGATCGAGAGGTGCGGTGCATGTTCGAGCAACTGCGCCTGCCATGCCACCAGCAAAGAGCAACCGCCATGACCGGCCACCCCGGCCTTGCTGTTTAGGAGGTTCAGGCGCGGCCGGCTGTTGCTGCTGCTGCAGCTCTTGCTCTGATGGCTGCTCTTGTTGCTGCGTATCTACCGCGGCTTGATCTGGCGATTCTGATGACGTAGAGGACTGAACTTCCGCTGGTTTATCGTGCTGACTCATCTTCGACGAGATCGTGGTACCGGAGCTGGTTGGTGGTGACGTTGACTAGGATGAAATGGCACTCGAATGCTTCGATAAGCTTAATGAATGGGCGTGAAACTCGTCAAGAGCTTACGATATTGTGAAATTGGTGGTCGAACCCTTCGAGAAGCGTAATGTGGAAGGAATATGGAATGTGCGGCGTTGGGCGAGGCTGGATTGTCAGCGTAGCCAGGAATGATAATCGACAAACCAAATGGACGCGGCGGAGACGATGGCGCGGGGATAAGGAGGTGGACGAGGATTAACTAGGACAGATTCTTGCCCCGATTACACGCGGCAAGAGGTAGACCAGGACGGAGGATGTATGATCCCCTGAAAGCAGCAGCCAGAGCAGTTCCTTTCGTGAAATCTGCTCTCTACGCTACGCAGAACCAATTATAAGTTTCTGCTGCTCTTTCACACACTGAAGTCTGCCTGCCTGGAGCTGATCAAGGGGCTGAGGTTCCAGTCCAGACTAGACTGGAGATAAGAGTGCCTGGAATCGTTGAGTAATTATAGACCACACACCCACATGCTGCTCCTCGTCCGCTGATACCTTACAGGTGTGGGAGAACGCGAAAAGCGAGGGAGTTCCCGAGGCTGAAAGCGCTGCTGCAGGTTCGAGGGATAAAAAATTCATTGACGGTGCGGATGGGAGGAGGAGTTTTATCTCTGAATTCACGAGGGATTGGATCCGCGGTTTGGATCTCCTTCCGATCCGAAGTTATCGAAAGCTGCCTTGGTATCGAGACATAGTAAACCAGACCAGTTTTGGCTTTGGGGCCAACCAAGCTGTCCCCGCGCTTACCGGCCCAAACCTCATTGTGAGCCGCCCACCGAGCCTTTCCCATCACCTTCCTCGGAATCCGTTGTTGTCACAGAACCAACAAAAATGATGCCATTGTCATCTCCCGAAGTTAACAGAACACTCTGAGATGAAGAAAAGTATAATTTCTAGAGCCTAAATATCTAAGAACAATAAAATCTGAATTGCTTTCTGACAGAGTTGCAGAAATTTTGGCTCCTGGGAAAATAGATGAAGATAGAAGACGAAAAAGGTAGTCGCCTCTTCATCTCTTTTGCCAAAAATCCAGTTTTCCTCTTACGTTTGTAGTCCATGCCAATTAGTGCCCATTTCCACTGTACGAATCTTACTCCCATCATGCAAGTTATTTCGTAGGCACAAATTTTTCCTGTCTCCCTCGCTTCTGTCAGCTTACTTTCTCCTTTACTCGCTGTAAGCACGCCAGCCCAGATTCGTGTGTGCCGTGCTCAAAATTTACCTAGCCTTCCCTGCTGCAACCCCCTTCTCGCTACACAACCTCCTTTCTTTTCAGTGGTCATTGACTCAACCCTAGTTCTGATCGTCGCACGGTGGCGTGGAGTTCGCGTGTCTCCCTTAAGTATTCCCTTTTCTTATAACCAGTTGGTCGAATGGGTTTACGACGAAGATCGTTGTCGCACATTCCTATCCTTTTTCAACATTTGTTTCATGTGGAGCATTAGAATCCTTACGACGTCGCTTAATCCACGATTTGCCTGGTGCGCATTTCGTGCACCGACTTCTTCGTTACCTTCGTGCCGTTCCGTCGAACTTCCGCGTGGACTCCCGGTGACATTCAGCCTACCGCGGCGACGTTCAGTATCAAGGGGGCATTGGCTTGCAGCCGTTCCTTGCAACCAAATCGCCTTGTGGGAAAAAAAACTCAATTGCTTCCGCGACAAGTCACCGCTTTCGGAGGTTCGGGCGCGTGGTATCACCACAAATGCCTTGTCGTCCATTAATTTCAAGAATTGCGGAGGATCCATGGCGGCTTCTTTCCTCCATGATCTCAGATGCCTTAAGAAGAGTGGTGTCTTCTTGAAGGATCCGAACGCGATTCGGAGGTACTAAAAGGAGTACTTTGTTTAAACATCAGAACTTCGTTCTTTCGCGAAAGGTACTAGTAATCAATTCCGTAAACCTGCTCTGTTTGTTCTCTGGAAATGTTAAGTCAATTTTCAGATCCATCAACCAGAGCGATTTCTATCCTCTTTGCCCGAGATTATCGGCTCAACTTGCCCGAGATTAACGTGCAATTTCCTCGCAAAATCGTAGCGCTGGATACAGCTGGCGTGTGTAGCGGTGGTACTAGCTAGGCGTGTATACCGGTATCGCTTTTGTTCCACTGGTGATACATTCAACACTTACAAGCTTCAGAAGAAGTCTCAGGCGTTGACAGTGTGAGTCAGTGAGTGAGGCGGGCGGTCAGGCGGGCGGTCAGGAGGGCGCGCGTGCGGGCGGGCAGGCGGGCGGGTGGGAGCCATGACGGGGGACGTGGCGGAGCTAGTGGAGCAGTACAAGTGCGAGTTGGCGGAGTTAACGTTCAACAGCAAGCCCATCATCACCAACCTCACCATCATCGCCGGGGAGAACGCGCATGCGGCCAAGGCCATCGCGAATACCATCTGCCAGCATATAATCGAGGTACCGCTGCTTCTGCGTTGCCTCTGCCTTGCTGAGCGCGTTTGATGGTCCTTCTGTTTTTTTTTTTTTTTTTGAGTCTTAGTGTGTGTGTTTTGTCTGTCTCCCATCCGCAGGTATAATTTTTTATCTCTTTTCCTCACTGATCCTCTTCATTTTCCATGCTCGCTCGTGTCTCTGCTACATTCTCCCGTGTGTTGTATGCTCGCGTGCCATCGTGCGTCCACGGCAGGTGCCGCCAGATCAGAAGCTGCCGGTGCTCTACCTGCTGGATAGCATCGTCAAGAACGAGGGGGGACCCTACATTGACGTCTTCGCTGCTCGTTTGCCCGAGGTAGGATAGGCAGCTACTATCGAACACTGTCGCCCATGCTGTCATGCGGTCTGCTGTCCTGCTGCTGTGCTGTCGTGCTCTCATGGCGTTCGTTCTTCTCTGGCGTTGCGTCTGCTGCTGATGAAATGCTGCCAGGTTTGCTGCTGCTGCTGCTGCTGCTGTGCTTGCGCCGCGTTACCGTGTCCGTTGCATCACTTATATTTCTCTATCCCGGGCCGTCCCCTCGGGCGCCTTCGGTGTCCTCATGGCTTCCCCTCATACTCCACCCTCCCCCGTTGTTTTCCTCCCAACGCCACCTCCCCCCCCCTCCCCCCCTTCCCCCCCGACTTTCCTGCGTCCCCCTCGCCTCTCCCCATCCCCGCCTTTCCCCCCTTCCCCGCGTCTCTGCGCGCGCAGGTATTCTGCCGCGCCTATGACCAGGTGGATGGGGCAATCAAGCCGCAGATGCGCCACCTCTTCGACACCTGGCGCTCCGTCTTCCCCCACCAGCCCCTCCGCGCGATCGAGCTGCGCCTGCGCTTTCCCCCACCCCCTTCCGCCGGCGGGAAGGCCCCTCCCCCAGGCATTCCGCCTGGCCCCATGCACGGGGGGCATCCCTCAGGGCCTCCGCACCAAGGAGTTGGCGGTGGCGCGGGGAGAGGGGGAGGTGTTCCGCCTAACCACGCGCATCATCCCCATCACGGGCATCCGGGCATGGGTTCCCCGCACCTTCCCCCCTCCACCCCCGCGCACGCTAGGGCGCATGCTGGGGGGCCCGCGGGCAGGGCGGGAGGCGGGGCGGGTGGCGGAGGAGCGGACGGTGGGGGGGGGATACCGTTGGATTCGCCTGGTTCGGGGAGAATACATGTAAACCCCAAATACTTGAAAGCCGCACAGGTGCAGCAACAGCAGCAACAACAGCAACAGAGGATACAGCAGCAGGTGAGCATGATAACGAAGGTAAGCAGGAGTTTAGCTCAAGTTTGGCCCGAGTCTGCTTGCTGGTAGTGATATTGCGAGCCTTTGTAGTTACTCAAGTGAAATATTAGATCCAGTTGCTTTGCTCAATCTCTTACCCTCCATCTCCCCTTATCACCCACGCTCTTGCCCCTTTTCCCCTCGCCCCCCCTCCGCCTCGCTTAGGGTTTGGTCGCTAGACGAGCGGCCGCCGCAGCCGCAGCAGGTATAGCGACGCAGCAGCGGCCCGGTGCCACCCCGCGAGCAGGCAACGGCACGTTACAGCAGCGCCGCGCAGCTGCGGCGGCGGCGGCGGGTAAGGGGTCGGACGGGCGCGCAGCAGAGTGGGGAGTGACAGCTTCCGCGGGTAGGGCCGCGGGGGCTGGCGCCGCCACGTCTACCTCCTCCTCTTCCGCCTCCGCTGCTAATGGAGGCGCGGGGGGGAGGGCAGGGGGAGGGGCGGTAGCCAGAGCGCGGGAGAGGGAGAGAGTCGCAGGTGGGAGGGTAGGGGCTGCGGCGGGGAGGGGTGGGCGGGGGGCGCGGGGGGCAGCTGTTGCGGGTAGAGGCGCGGGCAGAGCAACGGGTTTGGGTTCCCACCCTGCTCGCGCTTCTGCTGCTGCTGCTGCAGCGACTGCAGCAGCGGCGGCTGCTATGGGAAAGCTGAAAGGAGCGAGAAGGGCTGGGGGTATGGGGAGCGTCCCTGCTGCCGTTCCTCCCCCTCCTCCTCCTATGGGCCGCGGGCGTGGGGCTCCGCCAATGAGGCAACGCCACGTGCAGCCAGCTGTAGAGATGTATGAAGAGGAGGTAGAGGCACCGCGGTATAGGGGGCCGTATGGAGGGTATGGGGTAGAGGCTGAGCAAGAGAGGGAAGAGGAGGAGGAGGAGGAGGAAGCAGAAGCGGAGGAGGAGGCGGAGGAGGAAGAGGATGAGTTGGTGGGTCCTGCGGTGGAATATGATGGGATGGAAGGGAGTGAGGGGGTGGTGGATGGCGGGGGGGATGATGGAGGGTGGCTGGATAGACGAGTAGCTGTGGATGACGAGGATGAGGAGGAGGAAGAGCAGGAGGAGGAGAATGGGGACGATGCGTTTGCAGGAGGCATGGCAGGTGAGGGAAGATGAGGTGTGCGTATGAATGGCTGTCTGTATTGTCTGCACATCTCCTCTTTCCCGTTTTTTCCCCACTTTCCTTGTTTTCCCATTGTCCCTCTCTCCAATTCAGACACTTTTCCATGTCCTTTTCTTTTCCTTATCCCACTCATCTCCTCTCCCTCCCTTGGCTTCTCCCTTTCGCTGCTCTGCTCCCCCTCGCCTGCGCTCCTCTCTCCTTGCAACTCTCGCTGCTCCTCTGCAGGAATGCATCAGTTCGCCCCTCCCCCTCGCCCCGCTCGACCAACCACGGACCGCTACCAACGTCCCGCTGCCGCTTCTGCTGCTGCTGCCACCGGTGCTGCTCGGGGTCGCGGAGCCGCAGCAGCAGCAGCTGCAGCAGCTGATTCAAAACCAGTTGTCCGGGCTCGGCCTGCCAGAGTGCTGCGTGCTGCACACGCAGCAGCAGCAGCCGGTGGTGCTGGTGGTATGGGTGGTGGTGGGGGAGCGGGCGAGCGGGTGAGCAGCACGCATTTTCAGTGGAAGGAGGTGACGGAAGTGGTGCCTGCTTCTATGGTGGGTCGACAGCAGCAGCAGCAGCTTCGGACACGGGAGCATGCAATGATGGATGATGAGGTGTGACTGATTTGATTTGAGGATTTTCCTTGTTATGCTGCAAGTTCAAAATCCCATATGTTCACTGAACTGTAGTATAGCTCCTCTCACCATCTCTTGTCTGATGTGGCAGCTCACACCCTCCTCTCATTCCGCCCCATACTCCCCCACTTCACCATTCCCCCCCCTTTCCCCCCTCCCCCATTCCAGGGGCTCCCTATCCACCCGCGCTCTGCCCTCCGCCGCCCGCGCCCACCCAGCGACTCCTTCCCCCTGCACCCAGACGCGCCAGGCCCCTCCCACGCCTCCCTGCTCCGCTCACGCCTCCAGCACCACCCAGCAGCAGCAGCCCCTATGGCAGCAGCAGCAGACACGTGGCCTATACCAGGAGCAGGGGCAGGGGCAGGGGTAGGGGCAGGCGTGCCAGTGTCAGCAGCGATAGCAGCAGCCAGGGCGGCAGCAGCAGCAGCAAGAGTGGTAGACCTAGGCCCGGATCTGCCAGACGTAGACGTGCACGATCTCTTGCCGCTCCCTCGCTCCTCTGCACCCCCTTCTGCTGTCCCAGGTGCTCCTTATCACAGCATACCACCGTCTCTCCCTCCTGCATCGTCTGCTGCTGCTGCTGATAGAGGGTACCGTATGGGGGAGGGGATGGAAGCGGAAATGCCTGGTGCGGGTCCGCTGCATGCTGGGTTAGCGCCAGATGCGGCGCTTCCGTTCTCGTCTCAGCAGCTCACGTCGCTACTGCAGCAGGTAGGAGCAGCGGTTGGGAACCTACCAGGAATCCAACCATCATCTTCAGCAGCAGGAGTAGCAGCAGCACCGCCGCTCCCTCCTGCTACCGCTCCACGCCTACCCTCCCCCACTCCTCCTCTCGGCCCTCCTCTCCCCAGCCTTCCGCCTCTCCCCCCGCACGCTCCCCCGTCGGCGTCACCAGCCCATCCCTCCACCCTCTTATCATCTCTCGCCGCGTCTGTTTCTGCTGCTTCTGCCCGCCTGCCCCCCTCTCCTCCTTCACCTGCAGCAGCGGTGCCTCCTCTACCTGCAAACCTCCCAGCTGCCTTATCGTCGCTGCTCGCCCCTGCAGGAGCGACTTACCCTGCTGCCTTTGGAGCTCCTGATGAGTATGGCAGAGATGGTGGTGCGGCGGTGGGAGGGGCCCCTATGGCTGGATTTGCGGGTGGTGGTGGTGATGGTGGTGGGGGTGGGGCTGGTGGGGGAGGAGGCGGCGGAGGAGGAGGAGGAGGAGGAGGAGGAGGAGGAGGAGGAGGAGGAGGAGGAGGAGGAGGAGGAGGAGGAGGAGGTGCAGGGTTGTCAAACCTTTTATCCTCGCTTCTCACACAAGGCGTTTTGAACATGGGAGCTGGAGCAGCAGCAGCTGGAGCGCCTTCCATGCCTGCATCGTTCACTCCTCCTCTTCCTCCCCTCCCCCCCTCAGCACCCCCTCCCTCCCTCGCGCCCTCGCACCCTGAACCCTTCGATCGTGTCCCCACCCCTCCCCTGCCCACTCAACCCCATCCCCCATTCCCACCACAAGCGCCACCTCCCTCCACTCAACCCCCCCAGCACTCTGCGTCGCCCCACCCCCCTTTCCCCCATCCGCACCCCCCTCCTCCTCTGCCTCCTCTGCCCCTGCAAGACCTCCCTCCTCCCTTGCTGATCATCTCGCATGGAGCGTTAGCCGCGGTGGGGCGAGAGATAAAGCAGGAGGTGCTGAGATCAAGACATGAGGCGGTGGTATCGGCGCTTTATTTCGACTTTCCCCGCCAGTGCGCCACATGCGGACGAAGGTTTGCCGACCAGGAGGAGTACGGGCGGCACCTGGACGGTCACTTTCTGAAGCGGAAGCGGCTGAAGCAGCAGAAGGCACAGTCACGCATGTGGTATGTGTCGACGCGTGATTGGCTGTCAGAATCCACGGCAGCTGCTGCTGCTGCCGCTCCTGGTGAAAGTGGGGGGATGGGAGGGGGGGTGGGTGGTGGTTTGGGGGGAGGGGTGGGTGGAGGTGCCGGGGAGATTGGGTCAGGAAGAGAGGGAGATGGAGGAGGAAGAGGAGGAGGAGTAGGAGGGGTTGCTGCTGCTGGTGCTGCTTCTGGTGGTGCTGATGCTGATGGTATGTCTGGTGTTTCTGCTTCTACTGTGGCTGGCGGTGGGGCAACGGATAGAGGAGGGATGGGAACGGGGATTGGAGATGGAGGCGCAGCAGGAAGAGAGGGTGGAGGTGGGGGCGGAGGAGGAGGAGGAGGAGGAGGAGGAGTGGTAGCAAGTGGTGAGGCAGGAGGAGCGGTGGGAGATGGAGACGGGGCGAATTTAGCTGTTCCCGCAGAGGATGAGGCGGATGACTGGTGTGCTCTGTGCGGGGAGAAATTTGACGTGTTCTTTGATCCAGAGGAGGATGAGTGGATGTACAGGGGTGCAGTGGTGGAGAGTGCGGTGGGAAGCGGTGGCGTCGCTGGGACTGGGCAAGTTGATTCGGAGAAATGCCGCCGTCGCGTTGTGCATGCGACATGTCGAGATGTATGAGATCTGTGTTACTCAGAGTGATGTAATGTGTGCCCAAGCACTTGATCTGGAGTGTCTAGCGAGCTGTCACCCGTTCTCCCTAGCTTTTTCGCATTTCACCTTTCCCTGGTTCTCTCTTTGGTTCATCTGTTCAGCGTTTTCACTCTGGCTGTCTCGATTTCTCAATTTCTCCACACTCATCTACTTGCTGCATCTGCCACATAGCTGTGTGTGTTCCTTGACACACACATACAATCACACCCATCTTCCCCCCCTCCCCTCCCCTCCCCTCCCCTCCCCTCCCCTCCCCTCCCCTCCCCTCCCCTCCCCTCCTCTCCCCTCCCCTCCCCTCCCTCCCACTCTCCCTCCGCTCCCCGCCCATCCCACCCCCATCCATACCTCTTCACATGTATACCACACACACATGCATGCATGCGTCTTCAGGCAAGCACATGCAGAGGTGCTTCTGACGGTAATCGCAACAAGCGCCTTCGAGTGGAGTGATTTTGCGAGGACAATTGTGGCTGGCACAGCACAACGGTTGGGACCGAGCAGATAGGGGTGGGGGTGGGGGGGGGGGGAGGAGGTGGGGGGGGAGGAGGAGGGGGGGGGGCGGGGCGGGGCGGGGGAAAGGTGGATGGGGGGCGGAGAGGGGGGGTACAGCAGATGTTGAGAGTTACAGCCCAGCAGCAGCTTCTGCCCAGCGGTTCTTTGCCAGTAGACGTTGTCCTCACAGCAACCAACCTCCCCTAGTGGTGCTCTTATTCACCAGGCATCTTTTTGAAGTGAAGGCTTGTTTGAGGCGCCTCAAAACACACCTCACAGCAACCAACCTCCCCTAGTGGTGCTCTTACTCACCAGGCATCTTCTTTTTGAAGGGAAGGCTTTGCCCTGGGGTTGGGGTTTAGTGAAGGGTGTGGCCATGGCAGTGCATTTTGTCATGGGTGGCTTGGCTTGGCTTGGCTCTCTCACTTGGCTTGGCTCTCTCACTTGGCTGCACTGGTCGGGAATCGGGGTCCTGCTTAAGTGTGGCTGCGTCTGCTGCTGTCTCTGGGGAATGTATGAGTACCGGTACTTGCCGTCTCTGCATGACAGGTTAAGCCCTGGGCTGTAAGCTGCAGGCATTGATTACCGCAGGTCTTCACTGATTTCAGTCTGGGACCTGCTTGGATTACCGAAGTAGTTTATGCAAGTTGAGTGGGCTGGGGTGAGTCATGGTACGGCTCTCTCAGGCAAAGAATGCCTGGTGGGCTGGCGAATAGGATGCCTGATAGACAATTTGCTTGTTGCTTAACTGCTTGCTTGTAGATGAGTGCTACTGCTGTGGCGACTGATGCTGCAGCTGATGTTGATGTGGGGACCAGTAGAATTCCTGTAGCTGCTTGCTGTGCGCTGCTGTTCTGTGCAGAACAACGCTCCTGATGCCGACGCTGTTTGGCTGGCAGGTACACTCTGGTCAGAGTTGTTCCAGCGCAGTTGCTTCTCCTACGTTCTGATGGCTTGGCTTGCCGACACCATGCAGTTGTTGCCAGCGTGATCTGCTTGACAGCACTGGGTTGCTGATAGCACGGTGTGATATGCTGTAGTGCTGACCTGTAGATGCACCTTAGCGTGTGCTGTTCTAACCTTATCTTGCTTGTTTGGCGGTGTTACTTGGTCACATTGATTGACTTTACCAATGTCATTCTCACAAACTGAAAACAGCAGAATCATTGGGTTGATTGGGTTGGGGTACAAATACCTAAGAGCGTATTCCTATCCTTGTATCAAGAAAACCTCATATCAAGATTGTACTTTTTGCCTGGTAAAACTAGCGAGAGGTTTTGGGTTTAGGGGAAATTTCAGTGGGAGGTTGATATGAGGTTCTCTTGATACGAGGATAGTAATACGCTCTAACCTTAACTGTTTGTACCCCATAAAGCATAACCCACTTAAGGCTGTAACATTTGACACACCCCCATAGCCTAAGGGTACATTCTTGCGGGGACACTTGTGTCTCAATCCCCGTTTTCCCGAGTCGCGCCTGTAAATTTGCCAAATGTTGTGTCACAAACAACCAATGTATCGCGACACTGCGCGACAGATGGGCACAGCCAGGTGGGTGCGTACTATTGGTTGCGACCAATAGGATTGTGCCCACCCAGTTTTCCCGCCGGGCAGGGGGGCTAAACATAGCGCACCACCTCGAGTATCGCGGTGGGCTTGCCACAGAAATGAAAGTTGCAATTTGGGCCACCCCACACACAACAGCATGTATACAACCACGGCTCCAAGTACAAAAACGCAAGCATCACAGAGCTAAACTGCACCACTGTCTAGCAACTATGGCATCGCCCCGCAAGGTGCCATTCCTCATGCGCCTACTTGTCGCATGGGTTACGTTCTACTACAGCATATTCATGGACGCCATCGCCAAGTCGGTCGGTGGCTTGCTGGAGGCGAACGTCTTCAATGACGAGGTGTCCTCGTCATCCAGCTCTCGCGCCTCCAACCGTACCGCAGAGCGGAAACGAAGGGCTGGGCTACGCCGGCGGAGATACCAGTTGCTGCTAGAGGACCTGGACGGCATGGGGGAGGATCAGTTCAGAGATATGTTTCGCATAAACCGTGGCATTCTCGAATACATTGTTGCCGGGATGACGCACTACATGCAACCGTACGTGGACAGGTACCTAATCAGTCATGAAGTGGCATGCCTTGTACCTATCAAATACCTCGCAAGTGGCATGTCTTTCGTAGACTTGTCCTCCGTGTTCGGGCTGTCCAAGACCCTGTGCCACATGCTTGTTGACGCGCTCCTCATGCATTTCCCGTCCGTCTTCAAGCAGCAGTGGGTCCACTTCCCGACCCGCGACGACCTCGACGAGATGGCCGCAGAGTTCCGCGCCATCAAGGGGGTACCTGCGGTAGTGGGGGCTATAGACGGCACACACATACCCATGAAGGGATGGAGGGGCACAGGCAAGAGTACTACACGCGGAAGTCCTGTTACGCCGTCCAGTTGCAGATCACATGCGACGCGCGAGGCATCATATGGGACTATTTGATCGGATATCCGGGCAGTGCGCACGATCAGAGAGTGTTCAGGAACAGCGCGTTACACGAAAGGTTGCACAACGGCGACATAACGCCATACCAAATAGTGGGAGATGCTGCCTACCCACTCAGGGACTTCTGCCTGACCCCCCTACGTGCTCCCCGTGAAGGCCTAATGGAGGACTGGGAGCAGTGCTTTAACTATTGCCAAAGCGCAACGCGCATGGCAGTAGAGCGCTGCATCGGCGCCTTCAAAGGCCGGTGGCGTCTATTCGCGGGCCGCAATGACTACAAGCTCTGGCGCATTCTTGCAGGGGCGTCTTGTGGCGTCATCCTGCACAACATGTGCGAAATGATGGGCGCAGTAAGGCGCGTCAATGCATCGTGGGCAAACTTGCCCCGAAACCGGGACCCATGGTGGACTCGTGGCGCGGTAGCAGAGTTCATGTGGGAGCCATGTGACCCATGCACGCAAGAGAATCTTCGTGACATGCGCAAGCAGCTGGGCGAGGCTCTGGAGTCGTCTTACCTCACTCAGCGGCGCCGCGGACCCACACCTCCTCACCCGCATCTAGGTTAGAGGGGTCTTCGCCCGCCTGCCCGCGACGAAGCCAGCCGTCGTCGCCGCCTTCGGCGGCGTGCGGGCCGTACATGTTGTCCGCGTGGGCAGGGATGTCGTCGCGGACATGCGGGGAGGGTGCGGGCTGCTGCACGCGTTCCCGAGCAATACGCGCGTCCTGATCCATCCACGCGCGGACGAGGCCTTCGAGCCTGCTCATGGCGTCTGAGTGGCAGCCTTTGATCGTCTCGCACACCAGCTTTGCAGCGGCCATCGTCGTCGTCTCTGCCACACGTGGGCGCTTCGATGTAGGAGTTCCCTGTGGCGGCGGAGGTGCACACACGGTGGATGCACACGAACAGTAGACGAGGTGTTATGTACCCTAAACATTTTAATGATGCAATGTGTGCGTAAAATGTTGTCACAAAATGTGTCATTCAACAAACCCGCGAGTGCCACCGTTGATGCAACACATACATACCAGTGAATGTCGGCGTAGAGGTGCAGGGCGCCGAAGTGGACGGGACCGCGTACCCACACGGCACGTTGACGTGTGCCGCACCGCCACCGTCGACGGCGTGAGGGTTGCCCACCGCCTTGTTCTGGAAAAGCGCCATGTACGCGTACCAGTGGGGCTTGCACACGGCTCGCCTTTTCCCCCTTCTTGATCTGCTTGTACATGTTCACAAGATTGCGCCACTGCTTTTGAAGCACGTTTACACCGCGCACCCAACCGGGATTCTCCTTCTCGAGGTGACGCGCGAGGCGGGCCCAGTACTGAGAGCCCTGCTTCCCGAGGAGGGGCCCGAGCTCGTCCTTCATGAACCAACGCGCAGCCACGAAGATTGTGTTCTCGCGGGGGGACCACACGCTCCGCTTAACAGGATGCAAGTTACGGGTCTTGGCAGCGGCACGCGGAGGTTCCCCGCCCTTAGCAGCAGTCTTGGTTCCCGCAGCGGCAGACGCACGGCCGCGACGAGGAGCCGGGGACGCAGGCTGGGCCTCTTCGGGAGCGTCCTCGTCGGCATCGGCGTCCTCGTCGGCGTCAACTTCATCCTCGGAAGGGGACATGCCCTTGTCCTGCTCCTCGCCAGAGTCCGCGTCGTCTTCGCAGGCCTCGTCGCACTTGTTGTAATCGGAGTCCGCGGCGTCATCATCGTCATCGAAGGCAGCATCGTCGTTGACGCGGGATGAGGCAACCCGGTCGGCATGACGGCGTCCGCAGGTAGGGACATCGCGCGGGGCTTCGAACGAGGTGTCCCCCGCACCAGGCGCTCCTTCGGGCAAAGGGCCGGCGGGCTTGCGGCCGGCCGCGATTTGCTTATTCATCCAAGCGATGTACGGGATCTCGTCGAGATCCCGCGGGCACAAGTCAACAGAACTAGCTACGCTCTGGCGCTTACGGGCCGTGGCTACAGCGTGGAAGAAGACCCTGGTTAAACTTCGCAACAAGAAAGAGGAAGCTCGGGTTGGGAGAAGAAGAACAGATTGGAGCGGGAGAGTGCTGTCAGTGTGGTTGGAACGATGGGCAAACATTCGGGCAGGGATGTGACCGTGTGTGCTGAAGGACCAGTCATATGTCAGCCCGGGCAGAGCGGTTTCCTTCCCCGCGCGGAAACGTGCCCAGTTCGGGCGTCCAGGTGCATGCTGTACAGTGTGAGATTTCGACACGCGTGCGATTTTCGGGATGTAACGGGGCCTCGTGTAACTCGTCCGCGACACAAGCGCAATTCACGCCAACCAATGTAAAATATAGTGGGACTCGCATAAGCGCGATCCGCTTTTGTGACAGGGCACGGTATATGCTGTTTTTAGATGTCACAAAGTGATTGAGACACAAGTGTCCCCGCAGGAATGTACCCTAAGTGGGGAATGCTAAGCAACAAAACGCAACCTAAGGTCACAAGACCAGTCACAAGCAAGAGAGAAAACAAAGCTCAGGGTGGATCACAACGTCACCACACAGTCTGAGCACAAACAAGAGGCCACAAGGCCAATTGAAGAGTGTACAAGCTAATATATATGGTACAAACAAACAAGAGGCAAGAAATCACTACTGCAGTCTACTAGACCCAGTCTCAACGAGGCCTAACAGCAGACAAAACCGGCGGTGGTCACAAAGCTGAAGGGCCTTGGTGAAGATGTCTGAAGTGTTGGCCTCGGAGGCCATGAAGTCCAGACGTGCCTGACCGCGTCTCTGCAACTCTCGAAGGAAAAAGTACCTGACGTCGATGTGCTTCACTCTGCTCTCCAGTCGAGGCTCACGACACAGGAGAATCATCGTCTTGTTGTCAGCAAACAAGGTCGGTGCAGAGCTCGGCCGCTCACCAAGGCTAGTGAGCAAGAAGGTCAGCCAGCGTAGCTCCTATGCAGCAAGGGCTCCTCCAGTGTAGATCTCGGCCTCTGCGGTAGAAGTCGCAACAGAGGACCGAGTAGACCTCCACGAAACAGCTGTAGAGCCCAGACTGAAACAATAACCCTGCGTAGACCTCTGAGTCTCAACGTCATCGGCGTACGAGGAGTCGCAGTGACCGGTGAGTACAACTGGCTGTGTCCCTCCAAGTACAAGCCCCATGTCTGATGTCGTGCCGAGGTACTTCGCCACCCTCTTAGCCGCCGTCCAGTCAACAGGACGGTGTCTCCCGGTCGCAACAAAGCGAGAAAGGATACTAAGAGGGAAGGCGAGGTCCGGGCGAGTGCACGTCATCAGGTACATGAGGCAGCCCACCAACTCTGCGTAGGGACCACTGGGCTCGAACGGCTCGTCAGAAAAAGGCCCAGTGAGTCTGTGGTCTACAGCAAGAGGGGTGGGTGTAGGAGAAGAGTGCTAAAGCCCGAAACGCTGAAGGACCTGCTGCACCATGTGTGACTGAGTCAGATTGATGGTGCGAGCCGCTCTGTAGGCCAAGGTAGCGGCGCAGCTCCCCAAGGTCAGTGTAGGTGTGTCTCTTTTGCTGTTCGGACTTCACCTCCGCCAGTGCAACTGAGTCGGCTGTGGCAAAAACCAAGTCGTCAACGTAGACCAGAACGAAGAAAGGTGTGCGCCCCCGACGAACAAACAGCGACGGGTCGGCGGAAGACGGCTCAAACCCGAGGTCAGACAGAGTAGAGCGGAGAGTGTCGTGCCACTCACAGGGTGCCTGGCGAAAACCGTAGACTGGTCGTCTGAGGCTCCACTGAGTCCCAGGCGGGAAGGTGCCAGTGAAGCCCGGAGGACGACGCGGCCAGATCTCCTCGTGTAGGCTGCCCTGCAGGAAAGCGGTGGAGAAGTCGAGGGAGTGTAGCTCGTAGTCCCTCTGTGCCGCTACGTGAAGTAACACCCAAAGAGTGGTCATCTTCGGGGTGGGCGTGAAGGTCTGAAAGAAGTCAACCCCCTCACGCTGACTAAACCCTCTAGCCACGTAGCGTGCCTTGAAGACTGGGGGAAATCCCGGCGGCCGTTTCACCTTGAAGATCCACATGCCGTCAACTATGTTCGCCCATGGGGGGGGGAACCTCGTCAACATAAGTGCCTGTGGAGTTGTAGGAGGCCATCTCTGCGTCCATGGCAGCTCTCCACTGAGAGGCCCAAGGCCCTGACACTGCCTCAGCGTAAGTGCGAGGAGTAGGTATGTTAGGAGCGTCGGGGTCTCCCCCAGGAGCGAGGAGCATGGCACAGAGATGAGGCGAAGCAGCTGCCAGGAACTCTAGCTCAAACTGTCCGTCCTCTAGAACGTCACAACCAAGGGCAGACTCATTCCCGGCGGACAGAGGACGGACAAGAGGAGCGGCCACAACACGAGTGGCGTAGTCAAGGGGACGCGTAGCAGCAAAGTCAGTGACAGCGGCAGTGAGGACCGCGACGGAGGAAGGAGAGGCACGAGGGTTTGTAACAAGAGAGGCAAGAACACGAGAGAGAGTGGGCGGTACGTGCGGTAGTAGTCAGTGACCGGAGTGCACAGGGAGGCAGTGAGGGACGACTCAAGAGGACGAGGAAGAACAGACGGAGGAGGACGAGGAGGACTAGGACGAAATAACACAGCACGGAGGACAGTGATAGGTGACGAGGGACGAGCACGAGGAGGACGATAGGCCCAAGTGTGGGCGAGAGGAGGGGGAGACGGAGGAGACTGAGAACGAGGGAACACAGCCGGAGCTAAGTCCGGAGGAGGAAATGTAGGACCGAACACAGGAGGAGAGGAGGGGAGACCAAGGGCCCGAAGGCTAGAAACAAGGGCCGGAGGCTGCTCCGGCTGCTACGGCTGCTGCTGCTGCTACTGCGGCGGCGGCGGCGGCTGCTGTTGCTGCTGCTGTTGCTACTGCTGCTGCTGCTGCTGCTGCTGCCGCTGCAACTCCAACCTCTCACGCTCCACCCGCTGCACCTCCAACCTCTCACGCTCCAAACGCTGCTACTCCTTACGCTCAAGACGAAGAAGGGCCTGGTACCGAGTCGGGTAGGGGTGAGGAGGAGGAGTGCTGTCACGAGACGAAGAAGAAGAAGAAGAAGAAGAAGAAGAAGAAGAAGAAGAAGAAGAAGAAGAAGAAGAAGAAGAAGAAGAAGAAGAAGAAGAAGAAGAAGAAGAAGAAGAAGAAGAAGAAGAAGAAGAAGAAGAAGAAGAAGAAGAAGAAGAAGAAGAAGAACTGGCTCCGCCCTCGACAGTAGCCGGCTGTGCAACCCCAGAGCGAGTACCTCCTGCGGCAGCACGACCAGCACCTGTAGGATGTGTACCCGCACCCCCAGTCGTGGTGCCTCCAGTGGCACCAGCACCAGCCCCAGACTCTCTAACTCCAGAAACACCACCAGCTCCGGCACCTCCACCAGCTCCAGCACCCTCGGAACGGGCAGTTGCGGCAGGTGCACGCTCAACGCCAACGCCAACACCCCCAGAACGGGCGGCTCCTGTAGGTGCACGAACAGCTCCAACCCCAGCACCCCCAGAGCGAGCACTGCCAGAGCCCTCACCTCGAGCACCAACACCCTCAGAGTCCACAGTGGCCGGCAAAAGAAGCTCCCACGGCTACTGCGGAGGCTGTGAGGACGACTGTGGGGAAGGAGGAGAGACTTGGGGGGGTACCGAAAGGGGGGGGGGGTAGCGTGGGACACACCAGATGGAGCGGGAACAGGGGGGGGTACCGGAGGAGCAGGGGCGGGAGGAGGAGGAGTTGGAGCCAGGAAGAGGGGAGGGGGGGGGACCGGGAGACCTCGACAGGGGTACTGGACGTAGTAGGGGATGGACTCGTCGAAACGGACATCACGAGAGTCAAAGAACCGGTGGGAGGGAGGGTGGTAAAAGGTGAAGTCAGAGGAGTCCTCTGGGAAACCAAGGAAGACACAGGGGACGGCGCGAGGTGAGATCTTGTCCACAGAGGTGTTGCGGACAAGAGCCAAGCAGCCCCAGACACTAAACCTCGACGGAACACCAGGGGACCCTGTCCAAAGACTGGTCTGTGAAGCCCCTGGCCGAGAGACGCGAGGCCAGAGGTTCAACTGGTGAGCGGCGTACCGAGCCGCGTAGGGCCACAAAAAATGGGGCGCGCGGGCGTGGATCATGGAGGTGCGGGCAATCTCCATGACCAGGCCTAAGCGGCGCTCAGCAACCCCATTTTGCTGTGGAGAGTCTGGAAGAGTCCAGGACTGGGTGATGCCCTGCTCAGCATAGAATCTGGTGAGTACGCCGGAGCGAAACTCACCCCCACGGTCAAAGAGGAGACAACTGACATGACGACGGCGAGTACTCTCAGTAGCGAGCAGCCACCGGATCAGCGTAGAAGTCACGTCGGACTTTTTCGCCAAATGGAATACGGTGGTGTACCGAGAGTAATCGTCAACAACCACCAGAAAGAAACTCTCCCGTGCAGGGCCAAGACGACGAGCGGGGCCCCAGACGTCTAAGTGGAGTGTCTCGAAAGGCTCGGTGGTCGGACGAAGGGAGGAGGAATGAGGGGTGGCGCGCAGCCGACCCTGGACACAAGGACCGCACAGAGGAGCTGGGGACGGCGGGAGCGGCGGGAGGACTCGGGGGAGGCCTAAGACAAGACGCTGACTGGACATAGCGCAGAGACGAGGGAGGGACGGGTGACCAAGGCGGTGGTGCCAGAGGAGGGAGGGGTGGGCAAGCGACCGACACGAGCACGACGCAGCGACCGAGACTGACACAGCAACCTGACCGGACCCGGCTACCTGGTGGGACGGGAGAACCAGACGGGGGTCGGTGCGGAGGGTGTACAAACCTGAGCCCGACTCCTGGCGAAAAGTGGCCAAGGAGGCGTACGTGTCACCGTCCACACAGACCGCGGTGTCACCAGAAGGCTCAACCCAAACCCCGACGTGCTGTCTCGCCAGGGGGCCC